ATTTCTAAATGAATATTCAACTTCACTGAAATAAGGACATTTTAAAGGGGTCATGAACTGGCTTTTTAAATTTTATTATATTGTTGTCTGAGGTCCACTTATGACGTTCGCTTGGTTTTTGCATTCAAAAACATCAAAATGAACAAGTAATAGGCTATTTTCTACCCTAGTTTTGAGCCTAGCTGAAAAACGCTGGATTTGTATAGGCGTCTCACACTGAAGACTTGGAAGTAAACGCCCACTGCTGTGAGTGGATAACAGTTTTGCATATTATAATGAGTTTCGACTCACCCGTCGGTGCACTTGGGGGAAATTGTTTTGAAAACGTTGTGTTGTAAAATGGCAACCGGAATGATTCGCCCATACATGTTCGACCCAGAGTCTGTGTGTTGCACAATTCCTGTCAGATCCAATATAGACGGCACAGCACCGTTCTTTACTTTTAATTGGTCTGCTAATCCAGTCTTGTTTACAAAACAATCCTCAGTGAAATGAAGCGAACAGAAGGACGATGTTTTACCTCATCAGCTAGATCGTCATTAAAAATAAAGTTTATCCATGCAGTCCTATTGGAATCCAGAGCCACTGTCTTTTTCCACAACCAGGCACTGTACAATATTCTGTATTGCTCGGTAGCTCGATCCGGTTTGTCATCATGAGGTAGGCATCTATGTTATTTAGCTATGCGTGTAATCCGCGAATCGGTGGGCGGGGGTGTTGAAGTAGGCGTTGATCTTCTACAGCGGGGGTGGTGTTTTATCCTCTTTGACGTCATAGTGCTCCACTTTGAAAAACGAGTCGTTTGCTGAGCCTGGTGTCAATAAAAGCTTTTATTGAACTAACAAGGACGTTTTCATTTTTGAAACTTACAGGATATTCTTATAATATGATGACCTCTTAGATGTCAAAAGCTCAAGGAAAATTTGATTTCTCAGTTCATCGCCCCTTTAAATGAAAATTAAAAAGAAATTCGAGAGATGATTCCGCTATGAACAAGTAATGAAAAGAAAGAGGTGTGGGACACATAATACGGCCTCAGTCTGGTTCTTGATGTTGTGAGGCTTTAGTGAGCTCTTAAAGAACAGAACCCTACAGTTTTTACAGGACGAATCAGTCACACATCTTATTTTCCAATGGATAACTCTCTCTATTTCCCCGTTTATCATGGGCTGGGCTCAAATCAGGCCATGCTTGTAATCCCGCCTGAATGAAGGTTAACTAGAGTCTTCACATGCCAAACGCTCTCAGCTTCGGCTTTAAATCTACGGCATGTAGAATCCATCAGCAGTTTCTTTAGCGCTTTCCCACAAATAAAATCTCAAAGATTCCACTCACAGACCGTTTCCAAACTGCTCTCGGCATAAACGCTTTTCCTCGCTCAGATTCAGGACGTTAAAGTTTATTTGAAGGAAGCTGAATAAGAGAAAGCGAGAGGAATGGAAAGAAGGATAAAAGAAGCTGTTGTAGCTGGGCGATGCATTCAGAAACAAAGAGTAGATTATCTACTTCATATATTTATTTGGCCTATAAAATGTATTTTAATGACCCCATATTATCATCCCAATCACAAGTAAACAGCACTAAAAATGTATAAAAATGCTCTGTTTTGGTTTAATCATTCAAACCAACCAAACAGAATGAAATTGCATTTGTAGTGTAAACACTATGCATAATTGAATGATTTTAAACTCTACAAGTGAACTGATTCACAGTTTTGTAAACAAATCTGTCACTGTGAATCAGTTCGTTGAACTGCAAGGCCATTTTTAATGCCTATCTGTCATTGTACTGAATCAATGACTCAAATAAAACACAGCTGCAACCCCAAGTGTTTGCTTTAAAACTGTTTCCATTCCTTCTTGAAAAGAGGGCAGATGTTCCAAAAACTCTTTCTTCCTCCACCAACGAGAGAAATGAAGCTTTTTATGCATCAGTGAATGTTTCCCGCAGCTTTAAGACGGATATCAAAAGATGGAGCACAAGTGGTTTGATGGAGGAAATGAAGGCTTCCCAACATCTATAGAAGATCTGAACACACTCAATGGGTGTGAAAAGAGTTTCAGAGGAAAGAGCTTTTGAGTTGATGGACAGGAGTTTATCCTGGGATAGAGATATCTTCCTGTGAATATTTTGGTGGTGATACTCCTCACTGAACATTTACAGCACTGGTTAAAAAACAGCAGGAGCTCAGAAACTGAATTACAGCCAGCCAGACACATGCTAGAACTTACAACAAAGGTACTGTAGAAGTACCATTGCTCATTGACTGTATCAGATGGTAATATTATGATAATGTAATACAAAAACTACCATCATACTGCCATGGTATTTTTGGAAGAATCATGGAGTACAATGAAACGACCATGGTACAGTACATGATTTATATATACACAATGGTACTACATATCATAATTACTCAGGATTACATCAAAAAGTACCATGCTACCATGGTTTTTGGACATGTACCATGGTATTACCATGGTATTCTTAGAACAACCATGGCAATACTGTACCATAGCACATGGCATTATTTTCAGTGCCATGGTATTTAAGGTTATAGTACTTTTTTCAATTTACTGTGGCAATACCAGGCCTTGGAATACCATGTAAATACATTGGTATATGAATGTGGTAATCATTCATAATGACAAAATGTACCATGCTTTTACCACATTTTTGGGACCATGGCATTTTTAGAAGTACTAGAATACTATGTGGTATTATTTTTAGTACCATATGGTAGCATATATTTCAAGTAACCTACCATAGTATAGCCATCTCAATCTATACTGTACCATACCGCCACAGTATTTTTGCAAAGCTACATGTCTGGACATGTAGCTACCATGGTGCTATTTGTTGAATTATATTATGGTGACCATTCATTAACCTATATTAAAAAGTACTACAAATTTAAAATTATAAAATAATATTCATGGTAGGCTATATTTCAACCATAGTAAGCTATCTGACACCACGTTAAAGCCACAGTACTTTTTATAAGGGTACATTCACAGTAGCCTAGAGACAAACAATGTGTATTTGGAATATTGTGGTACATTCATAGACAGTATAAGAAGTGGACAGCGCCATCTCATTGGAACTCAACTGAGACAAGTGAAGCCTGTTTTTGGCGATTTTTTAGTACTTACGTTCCTGATGCGCAGACTCAAACCGACTCAAACAGAGCTTGACGACGTAGATGTGACGCAAGCGAAGCGTCTGTCTTCTAGTGGCTGTGGCATGAGAAATCTGAATCATTCCCTTCCGAAACTTGCAGAGGCGGACAGTGTGAGTAGGAGCTGTCCATGAGCTAGAAGCAGGAGAAACTTTTGCTAGGTATTCTGATTAATTATTTTGTCATTTTGCCTCCATGTTTCCCCGATTGCCCGCTAGCTTCTCCTCCTGTCCATACGGTAACTACCAACTGTCCATCTCTCTACTGTGCAACAGAGATAAGCCGTAACATAAGCTACAAGGTAATGGAGCATTTCATACATTGTTGTGTTTCTTTAGAAATAAATAATGGACTAATGGAGTCTTCAAACGCCTCAGATGTAAAGTTATTCGCTGTAAAACAGTGACGCCAAAATGAATGGAGTCAATGGAAATGCTAACTCAAGTGAAGTTCTCCTACAAGATGGCGGCACCCAGCTGGCTTCAACTTATGGTCGATGGATTACCCTCTTGATTACAATGTTGTTTTTTTTTTTTTTTTGTAAATAAGAGTCACTTATTTTTCATTAGATTTTTTTATTTTATTTTTTACTTAGAACTTTGTGATCTCTATGATTCTACTATTGATATGATAATAATTTCCTACCATGGACTTCTTTCAGGACTTCTTTCTTCAAATCGTCCTCTCTATTTTTAGCCGTTGTCCTGCTGGAATTCATTGCTGACTGGCTGTGCTGCTGCCGAGCGGAATCCTGTCAGGAATGTCTGGAACTTTCTCAAACCACTACAGAGAGAGAAAGCGAATGAAGAGGTTGAGCCGTGGGGAGGGGGAGAGAAAAGAAGAAAGCAGATGTGTCTGTTCTTCTGTTGTGGACTGCATTCAGTAAGTCAGAATATGCGCGAGTGCGATCAGTTCTTCGTCTGTGAGCTTAAAGGTATCTTGAATTGATTAGCGCGTGTGCGATGACTCGTCTTTCAGTGTGGGTGGTCCATTTAGCAAATATAATCAGCTGTAATCTGTCACAGTTCCTGGATCAGTATTTCAGAATCAAAGAACAAGTTCAGAGTGAAATCGCGCCATCCAGCCCACCTGCTGATCACCAATTTTTCCCGTGGGCCTTGTTGATGCTAAATGCAAATTGCCTAATTGTGGTGTAGAAAACGAATCCCTTCAGAATAGTGTTTTTGTCTTCATTCATCTTCAATTTTTTAAGATTTAAGAAGAATTAAGAAGACCTAATGAGATCTCTGGCAAGTAAAACTGAGTAGGCCTAACTGATGCTTTGTTTTTAAAGTGCATTCTGAGTTTTTCTACCATTTTGACAATGTGACTCCCTAGGAAGTTCATTACTGAACTACAGACGATTGAGACACATCCATTGTCCAGAAAATCAAGAACAACTGTATTTAGGTCTGGTTTGTGCTGAAGGTCTGCTAAATATCGTTTTCTCTCTGGCACGCGGCTGAAATGGTGTCTTGTTCGGTCTCCTTGGGTCTTGGAGAGCGGCTCTGGATCAAATTAAAGCTGGCAAATACAGCGGCCTCTCCTTTATATATTTCTCCCTTCAGATCTTGTCTCTTGTTCATGTGCTTTTCCATACTCTCGTCTTGTGTAAAATCTTTGACCTGCTTAAAGGGGTAGTTCACCCAAAAATGAGACTTCTGACAATTTACTCACACTCGTATTGTTATAAACCTGTTAAACTCAAGAGGGTATCCAAATAAGTGATTCACATGGTTCACTGGTCTACTAAATATCAAAAGTAGAATATTCCTTGAATTACGCATGCAATAAACCAAATAAAGAAGACGCAGATATCAGCTCCTTTGAAATGATCCGTTTATTGAGTTGGTTTTACATCGATTTGGTTCTGTGGTACAAAACACTGCTGGTTAGTGAGATATCTCCACCAAACAACAACCAAAGCAGCTGAATACACAACCAAAGCTTTACAACACAACCACAATGCACCATCTTTCTTTTATTTTGCTCTTCCAGTTGTCTTTTAGTGTTTGTTTGCGTCTAAACATACACTCACACATGCACACTTTGTATGAGTGCTTTTAAATGAAATTAAATGGCTTCACCACCAATAAATATCCTAGTATAAAAATGCAATTGTAATAATTTTATTATCAAAAAATTAAACAAAAATCATAAAAGATAGCAAAGGCACTGAACAAAAAAAAAAAAAATACCTTGGCAGTCCAGGTTTTTCAAACTGATACCAAACCCCCAAAAAAGATTATGGCATTGACCAACAAAAGTAATTAACCATAATAAAATAATGCATAAATAACATAATACTAATATCCAGTCAAGTTTTCCTCTATGCTGACTTTTGACTAAAATGCACCAGGTATTTCCAGTTTGGCTGAAAGCATGTTTGCATTTGATTTGCAATGGCCGCCTCTCTTATAATCTCAGTTATGATGGCACTATGGTTAGCAATGGCACATTTGAGTGTATGCTCAACTTTGTCCTAAAGTATTAAGACAAATAAGGTTGATAGTGAATATCTTGACACCAAATATTGGGTCAGATCAGCGAGGCGGCTTTTGGGATTTCTAACACATCAAATGACCCTGATAAAACTGTCTTTTCATTAGCATAAGCACTGCATGTTTGCACTGAAAACCTGTAGAGACCAGGAGAGATCGTTGATTATACGCACAACGTCCTTCTGTAAGGTAAATCAATAATAATGATATTTTGGAGAATCAAAAACAGAAGCGCAATAACATAAAAATACTAACATAGTATAATTTGATCACTGAATCCAGTTGACAATACGATGCAATACAGAAATGCAGTACGATAAGATACACATTAGGTGTGTCTACAATATCTACCCAGAACCTCATTGGAACAAAATGCCTCCCATTATTTTTCAGTTGCGAAATGTATTTTTCCATTCATGCTGATAGCATCTCTTTACTCTTGTAATGTCTGACATTTCTACCCATAAACACCTTCTTTGGTACAAAATACGTCCCTTATCCTTTCATCTACTTTCTTCATCTTACGTTTCTACACTTGCACTAGTCTTTCTCTTCACATGCAGCAAAATACAAAGCTACATCGTACTTTCCAGTGAATAATTCTATGTGTCCCTCTTACTGGAAAAGTGTCCTCCATCCATAAAAGCTTTCATGAACACACTTTCTCCTTTTTCTCTACAGCTACTTCACACTTACCTTCTAAAAACATTTAGACAACAGCCTTAGAACTAAAATGATTCGTCTCACGTTCTGCAGGTAGACAACAAACAAAGGACTAAAGATTCTGAAACAATAATCCTTCTGTCCCATTAAACCTACAACACAGGGAAGCTCTCAAGTCCAAACATGCCTCTAAAGAGCCTTTGGAATTTGCTGCCTCATCACAGCTTTGAAACTAATCGTTCTCCTTGTTTTTTTAACCCTAACGCGAGTGATTTGGGCTATCAAAGTTCAACAGAGAACCAATAATCCGTTATTCTTAGAGCTGAGCAATTATGATCCCTAAGTATCAACAGATAAAGACTGGGAGAGACAATGTTCCTACAGTCAAAAACCTTTGGAAATAGTCAAACAAGCTTGTCTTCTCCTGAAACATTCTTTAGAGCTGAGCTTGTGTCTGACAATTCTACCTTGTGTTAAACCTTGTTATGGTGAAGTTGTCCAGAAACCCCAAACAGTCACCTAACCCAATCAAGAAACCACAAGAGTATCATTCCAGAGAAACACACGCTCCATGCACACATGTTCCTGTCAGGACTCAATCAGAAACCACCAATCTCAAGGTGATCTCAGACTTCTTCCTCTTCTTGAATAATGACCTGCAAAGCACCAGTCTCGTTAGTTGTGGGGCAAATTTAACCTTGCAGTCAGGTAGTTTTGTAGGGTAGGCTTTGTGTTCAGAGGTCCTGGGGCTCTTCTAAGCATTCAATACAAACTTAAAAATAAAATAAAATAATACAAATTAATAAAACGCTGTTTTGATCACAGCTTCCTCTGGCATTTCTCTCCACCTTAAGGAAATGACATTCATAATTTAATTTGAATTAAATAAACCAAACAAACAAAAAGGCACTTCTATAAGTCCATAGATATGATTCTACTCATTTGATCAATATGATTTTGATCGTTACATATGCAGTTTAAATGACATACCAAGAAAGAAAAATAATTATATATGTCAGTTCCAATCAAGGACAAAGAGAAATTTGAGTTTTCTTATTCTTCCAGTTCTGCTAGACCACACCAGTTTTATATCACTAAATCTACCAAAAATATTAATAAATAATACACAACAACAGTTCATTTGGAGCAAGACCCTGGTTTCTTTTTTTTTTTTTTTGGAAGTAAAGACCACAAACGACATGTGCTCTGTGAGAGTTTTAAGGTGCTTGATAAACTCCGACTGGCTCTTATTTTTGTTTCATCAAGGCTGCTGTTACATGATGCCTTATTATGATGCTAACTCACCTTTTACTTAATATGTAAACATTTAGTTTCATTTCTTGCCTGTAGGGGGATAATGTCACGGAGTACCAACTTAACGTTTTACTTACTTCAAAACCTTAAATCCCCCAAGGCTGCAGTTCCCCAAGTTGTATTTGATACAAATTTTGAATATGTATAATAAAATAGGGTATAAGATAGGGTATGATTAGGGTTAAGGGTTGGGAGTTAGGTTTAAGGTTTGGTTGTACACAACCTCCAATATCATCCCATTGAAAAGGGACTCACATTCATAGAATCCCAGTTTTGCACTGGTCGTCAACAACATGCCAAACAAACACCTTCCACTTGTTCCTCCTCCATTCTTTCTAGGCCCCTTTCCCTATGACAAGTTGTTGCTGATGTCCAGGGCTTGTTGGTACACCTGAGTCATATCATCAAGATCTCCTAAGAGAGAGAAGCTGCTGTTATCCCCTGGAGAGCCCTGTGTTCCTCGACTGAATTTACCACTATGTAGGGGAGGAGCTGCCTGGAGACCCTTAAAGTTGGCCAGCTGAAGAAGGTTTTCCGCAGACACACAGCCTCTGATGTTGGGGCGGGTTCTGGGTTGGGGCCAGTCCGCCATGCTGAAGGAACTGTTGGTGATGGTGTCGCTATCCTCCCTTACAATGCTGGATGGGCGACTCTGACTGCGGGATAAACCTGAATCGCCAGGTGCTGGTTCCCCAAGGACACTCATAGGAGGAGCGCCGCTATACGTAGAATACTTCCCGTTGCGTTTCAAGATGCCTTTTCTACCAACCGCTCGCTTTGGTGGTGAGCTGGCGGCGAGAGGTGTAATGTTGCCACCTAGCAGGTCAGAGGACTCACTGCGCTCTGGGGAAGAATAGTACCCTGATTCCCGTTGTTGGTTGTTCTTTAGGATTCCCTTCTTAGGAAGGATGGAAATCGTCTTGGTAGGAGAGTCGCCTGTTAGCCTCTGCTCCTCTTCGTCCTCTTCACCCTCAGGCCCAGATTCCTTCTCTGGGGTTTCTGGGGACTCTATCTCCTCCAGACTTGGTGAGCGTTGCTCTTCAGAGGTTCTTGTCTTCAGGATGCCCTTTGGTCTCTTGAGGCCCAGGTTGTCCTCTCCATTACAGTGGGACACTCCAACATCATTCTCTTTCTTGGACTTTTTGGGTCGTTGACGGACAAGCAGGAATGGTTCGGACCGGATGGGTTTAGTGGGTCGTGGCTCAGTCCGGTTCTGCCAGTCAATGAGACGAGCCAGCATGGGCGAGCCAGCATCCCTTTGCGATTCACAGTCACACACACTGGTCTTCCATCCCCAGTTCACCCACCAGTGATTGGCGATGTCTTCAACCGTGGCCCGCCGCTCAGGGTTGACCATCAGCATCCAACGGATCAGACCACGGGCATCTAAACAAAAGACCAAGCCAGCTTCTTGTTTAGCATAATTGGAGACAAGTGTACTCTAATATATATTTCTCTATACAAAAGTCATTCTAAACATAAAGAATTGAATAGTTCCAGTACCTGATGACTGGGATGGTTCTCGATACTCTCCATTGCTGATTTGCCGAATAAGATTTTTGTGGTCCCCTCCATCAAACGGCATACTGCCATAGACCAGCGTATACAGCAACACCCCAAGAGCCCAGCTGTCCACCTACAAATAATGGATGGCATTGATGTCACCTGACTCTAAAACAACATTGAGTTACTGCTAAATGTTGAATAAACAACACTTCTGACGTCCTGAAGACATCATACGGAGGGGTGATAGAAATCCTTTGACAAGACTGAGTTGGTTAGACTCTGCTTTCATGCAAGAATCTATTCAAAGCATGACTTTTTTGACTTTTTAGGAAAGTAATTGGACACTCCAGCAAGCTTCAGATGGTACCAGTCTCCCGCTTTTGCTGGTTTCAGGGTGTTTTTTTAGCGTCAACGGCACGCTATATGCTATCAGTCAGTTTTGAAGCATTCTACTACACAACACATCACCTTGAGCAGGCATTTAAGCAAGTCCCGTGGAGGGTAACGTAAAAGGACAAGGTACCTCCCCAACAGTCTGAACAGTTTTCCAGGTCCTTGAGTTCTCAGTTTACCGGAAATCACTTGTGGACCTGAGTGATTGCGGTCACCATGGCAAGAGACTTCATTGATTTAATTGATTGCAAGGTTTGGCTTTTGGATTACGTCCTCTACATTGTAGTGTTTTCTCTACCCCTGAGGAAAATTGCAGTAAATTATTGCATGCTACAGTCTATAAAGTACACTGAACTACATCTATCTTAAAATACCCTGGGCAGTATACCACAAGAGAGACACATGTAAAGCTCTAAGAACCTTTTAACTCTGACCCAGGATTGACATGTATAATCAGAGATACTTGGAGAAAGAAACTCCAGCTGTGCTCCATGTTCAGTAGGGAAGCACAAGCGTGTGTTTGCCTGATCCTAGGGGTTTGTGGAAGGATAATCCCATCAAAGAGCAGAACGAAGCTTCACTAACCACACAGACTGTCTCTGATAGATCACAGCCGCTCACAGTGGATTTCACACGCTAACATAATGAAACTGTGGGGTGTTTCATTTACGATGATGCAAACCTCAAGGGTTTATGCCTGTGCATCACGTCATGCAGGCCTGTAGTAAACCATTCCAGCATGTTATTATGACCCTGGAAAAAAGTTCAACATAAAGAGCAGCTTTTGTAGCTTTCTTTATCTGAGCATGGCTCACCTCTGGACCATGGTATGGTCTGCCATTGACGATCTCTGGGGACGCGTACAGTGGACTACCACAGAAGGTCTGGAGGAGCTTGTCTTTATGATACAGGTTGGACAACCCAAAATCAGCAATCTGTATGAACAACAAACAAGTTGTTCTGTTTTAGAGAACCAGAGCAGCTAAAATCCAATTTTTCTGGTTTAGTATGTGTTTGTTCCGTTGTTTCATTCAACGTTCTGCTATCTTTTTTTTTTAAGTTCACATTTACATTTAAATCCTTTTGAAAACAGGACAACGTTTCAGGACATACCTAACTTAAACAACGTTCTCACCTTTATGTTACCGTTTTCATCCAGTAGCACATTTTCCAGTTTCAGGTCCCGATGAACAACACCATTCTGTAAAGAAAACGTCAGAATACATTTTAGAGATTGGAGATAATATCGTCATAGCCAACAGAATACGACCATTTAACCACTGACAACTTTTCCACAAACACTATCTCTAATTACAGTTGTGTCCAGACACCAGCTCTTGATTGGAACATGATTGTGCAGTTAGTGTTTCCTTCAAAGTAACAAACAGCATTTGGATAACTGAATTACAGCACACCCGGAAACCCAGTCACAAGTGGTTTGGGATCTGAGAGAGTTCATTACAGATGTCTGATGACCATGAAAGAAGCATGTGTTCAGCATGCACAGCTTTTAGCAGATGGACTATAAATTGACGGTTTAACAGACTGCTTTCTTGTGTTGTCTGACGGACCCCACCCGAAAATCCCCCCACATTGTGGTTGCCCATGGTGATGATGACACATTACCCTCCCCTCTGGTGTCTGGAAGCTCCCCTGCCCTGAAATATGACATCACGTCATCTTCAGCTGCAAACCAGCCCACCCAATGCACATCCGTGGAGACCTTGATTGACTCTAGGCAGTGCATCAGTGGGGGCACAGGACTGTCTCATTTGTTAGATGTGATGCAAAACTCCGGCTAGGTTTCAAAACTTAGTGATCTGCCTAATTAGACAGTATTTTAATAACGTATGTGAATGCAGTGCATTAATGCATTGCAACGAGCCCAGTGACAAAAATCTCACCCAAAAAAATTGCTTTACAGTACAGTACTTACAGTATACTTACAGTGTACTTACCTAGAAAGTACTGGCTAATTTAAGGTAAGTACATGGAACAGGGGTAGGTTCAGGGTTAGTACTAGTTATTACCCAGTAATTGTAGTAACTAAAATAAGTACATAGTATTTACATGGGTAACTGGACTGTAAAAGGAAGTGTTACCATATTTTTATGCTTCGCTTTGCATCTAGATTATTTAAAACTCTTAAAATGAAAAGAAAGGGCCTGATTGTAAGAAACTGGAAAGACCCTTTTCACGGAAATGTACAGTTGGCTGGTTTATTACTCCATCGACAGCTCTGCTAAAAGCTGAAATGTGTGACCCATGATGCAAAGCTGTTTCACATCAGTTGTCTGTTCCAAGATTCCTCCCAAACTTACAAGAGCCAAAGATAATAGACTCGCACTGCACAGCCCGATTTCATCGAATAACTGCGCGTGCAGCTCTGCAGGAACCCTGATGACACATGAGGCTCTCTTTGGAAGGAGAAAGGGATTGAGAAAGAGATAGAGTGGAAACGAGAGAGATTCGTACCTTGTGGCAGTAGTGCACAGCAGATACAATCTGCCTGAAGAAGTGTCGGGTCTCTCTCTCAGTCAGGCGTCTGCGTTCGCTGATGTAGTCATAGAGTTCGCCTTTACTGGCGTATTCCATGACGATCACTATCTTGTCCTTATTTTCAAACACTATAAAAGAAAACATCATCATGTTGAAAATCTGAGCACATATATATATATTTATATATACACACATATGAAATGCATTATAAAATGTATTTTTGTATATGTATATTACAATAAAGAAGATATAAGAAAAAATCTAGATAAATTTAGAGGCCTCAGTAATTGAGCCATGAGCCATGTCTAGTTTAAGCCAAGGCGTCCAGTCAAAAATAAAATGTACGGTGGTGCACTGGCGCCTTGTTTCTTCAAAATGCAACCCACAATGAAAAAGTACAAGTAAAAAAACTACAGGATGCATAACATTGAAAATAGTTTTGTAGTGGCCAGTCCAGAAAGTTCATCAAGTCACAGCAGAATCCACTAACGACCAGGAGAAGCCGAAAAATCCAAAGGAACAAACACAGCAAATTACAGTCCGACACAGCAGAAAGTGGCTGTTTCTGCAAAACCCCAAAAATCCTCGTACGGATCACCCCACCCAAGCATTTGGCGCTGCCGCCGGCTCCTGTCACAGAATCGGTTCTCATCTTTTTACAGAATCTCTTGCGTCCGCCACCGCTTTCCACAGAACAGCAGGGAATGTGAGCTCAAGGCCTTCTGGGATTGTGCAAATACAGTTTATAGAGAGAGGGTAACAGAGTTAACATATTTACCATGTCAAAGACAGTAAATCACAGTCTTCTCAAAGTGCTAAATATTGAAGCTCGGCGACAAATTCTACAGTCATGTGAGAAAATCTATCTGACAAATACAGTGTGGCCTGTAGGAAAGGAAAGTCCCAAATGAGATCTCAAACACCTTAACTGTTTCTCAGAGATAACAACTGAGGTTGAATGCAAACTAAACTCCTGATTCTTAGAAGTTTCTAAAATTCGCATCCGAAATTTTTGTATGTTAAAAAATAAATACGACCTACCCCTATGTCAATCACGCTTACACACTGCCTCCAAAACTTTCGTCCATCATAAAAAGATTTGGATCGGGGTTCGATTTTCTGCATTTTTGGCTTCTGTAGCAAGGATTTTGAATGGTGTTTTGACAATAGAGCGTCACAGTCCTGCCCACAGCACAAGAGAGCGTCGGTAAACTTCCCATTCATTTCTCTCAATGACATTTTGTAAAATCCATATCTAAAGAGAATTAGAGCATGTCTGAGGATAACCAGCTACGGCTGAACTCATAAAAGCATATCATTTCGAGTGAAAAAAACGAAGAGAAAATCCAAAAAGTCAAGAGCACAAGCCTGTGTACTTATTTTCATTTCCGAGCAAAGGAACTACTCCTCCTATAAACCACCGCGCCTCACTAAAGTCGACTGAAGCCACCGTGAAAGAGCCTTTTGAGAGACTTTCAAATCTGACGACGGCCACGTGAACTTTTTCCTCCAGTGAATTTTATATAGTGAATGTGCAGGGAAACTCCTTTTCCTCGATTTACATAAGCAGCTCCACATGCTAAAACATTGAGCATCTGGCTCGCTCATAGGCTGTGCTACGGCAACTACTGAACATCCAATGGCGTGGGCGTCTCTGAGGTGCGACCAATGAACTTAGCCCTACATCATTACACGATCTTCCGTCTTCACGCACCTTCACAGGGTTTCAGACACGTTACACGACTTCCACCAATCAGATGTATTACTGTGGGATTGTGGGATTGTTCAGGATTGTGGGTAATGAAGTACTTATCCAAGACGTCGCGAATTAAAGGCATTTGGTTAGTGCCCCATGAACTTTTGGCGTTTATATGAGTATAATATACAATCGCTTAGTACAGCCATAGCTGGTTTAAAGTCTATGTTTGGTTACGTTTTTATGGCTTATATCTCAAATGTCAATGGAGAAATTGTATTGAACTCTTACTTCCGGGCGGGACTGTGATGCTCTATTGACCCTTCGCGTGGGGCTTGATTGACAGGTAATCTGACCAATCATATTTCGCCATCTGCCATTTTGTCCGACTAAGCAGTCAGGAGAGATAGAAGATTTGCTTGGGAGGATTTGAACTTGAAAAACGAAGTGTACTGACGCCTTTCCGCGGTTAAAACAACATTCAATCTTATGTTCATTCATGTTAATTTGACTGATCATAAGTATCGAAAAGTAACCTGGCAGTCTCGTCTCTGCTCCGCGATGTATTTTTCACTGCGTGAGAACATGGTGTGCGTGTGAGAGCGGCATAGCTTGTCGGACATAGCGACAGTAACTAAGGGGGGCGGGTCTTTGCGAAGGGTCAATTAAGAGCCACCGAATCACGAATACGAAAATTTCGGACTCAGTGTGCAAGGACTTTAACACTTTATTTCGACAGTACACTATAGACATTCTACTAAATTTACCACTATATGTCAACTAACTCTAATTAGAGTATTAGTTGACTGTCTGTTTAATATCTGGTAACACGTATATGTCCCCTACTGACTACAAGTAACATTACAAGTACATGTTACCTTATTCTACAAACCCTAACCTAGCAGTGAGTCAACTAATCCTCTAAAGAGAGTTAGTTCACGTGTAATTTCAAATGAATGAGAGTTAGTTGATTAGTAGATGGAAAGTTACTTATAGATAGTAGAATGTCTAAAGTGGACTATTGAAATAGTATAACCAACACAACACCACAGTAATTTAAAATGAGCTCAAAATTGCCTGAAGTCTGAAGTCAGAGACCTCAATATGAGCTTGAGTTTTATTGTCTTACATGTATGTCAACACATTTGTCTCAGTTGTGTGGAATTTGAGGAGAAACAATTGACACACTTTTAATACTTAAACCATAGCTCTAAATCTCCTGAGCAATTAAAGAGCAACCTCGGAGTAATAAAATGTTCCTCTGGGAAAGTTCACGCTGCTAAACGGGTACAAAAGCAATTCACATTCATTCCTCTATCCGAAAATTTCCACGACCAGCCCAAACCCATAAACATAATTTAACATGGCAAGATTAAATTAAAGGAGAAAGACACTCTGACACTGGAGCAATGAAAGACAAAGCCAGACACAAGAAAAAAATTATTCTCTGGAGACTCATTTAAAGCTGGTAACTCAAGAGACTCGTTTAAAGAGGTGTTCTCCCTTCTTTGGGTCGAGCCAACCACAACACAGGCGGAGTCATGACACAGAACAAAGATGAATACGGCAACTCAAAAATAAACTGCCCTATAAACCCAGACGGACTTTGAGCGGAAAACCGCCGAGTCAGCGAGCCGAGAGCTCGCCAGGCCCGCCGTGGCACAGAATCAGCAGAAGAAACCAGACGTCTTTAGAAATCATCAACACACGGCTTCTCTGGAGATCTTAACCATTGAAACACATGCTGGTCAGGAATGGGGAGGGTCTTATTCACTGAGGCGGCTGATCTAGTTTCACTGAAATATTATTGCATGGATAAAACAAAACTGTCCTTCACAACACATGCCTATTATTAGTCAATGAAAGATTACTATGATTCATTAGAAATGTACGTTATATTCATTGTTGAGTTTGAGTGGATTAATGGGTAGACAACCAGTAGATAAACAGATGGACAGGAAGACAGATAGATAGATAGATAGATAGATAGATAGATAGATAGATAGATAGATAGATAGATAGATAGATAGATAGATAGATAGATAGATAGATAGATAGATAGATAGATAGATAGATAGATAGATAGATAGATAGATAGATAGATAGATAGACAGACAAATACCTTCATATATAGAGATGATATGTGGGTGGCGAAGAGACGACATGATCTCGATTTCTCGTCGAATGTGAACCATGTCCTGTTCATCTTTAATCTTTTCCTTCTTGATAGACTTGATGGCAACCTGAAGAGAAAAATAGTTTTTATTGTTTCAAATATTATTCATAATATGTTAGAACCTCAAGTAATTTACATGTTATTTTATGTAGTTGTCCACTCCGAATCGTGGGAGTCTGTCTATCTCTATTCAAATCTCTATTTAAAAAAAAAAAAATTACCAAGAATTGTGCAGCTCTACACACAATTGAGAATTTTTGGGAAAAAAACTCCATTGCACAAGCCTCAAATCGGGCCGCGCCCCCCCTACTTGTCGAGCGGGTGCAAATCAAGCCCAAAATGGAGCTTAAAATCTTCAAGCGCGTGGCCAGCATAAGCCACAGTTTTATGGCTTTTTGTTTGAGCATGTGCACTAACCACTCAAACAAAAACACTCTATTCCTGAATGTCAGAAAAACACCTGAGTAGATTCTTCAGACGGAAAGGTGCAATCATCCCATCACAGACACACACACAGAATTATCCCATAAACACATCTCAACTGAGCATATTTTCAGCCTCTTGCCGTGTAATTTTCCTGATGTTTTTTTTTGGAAAATGAGGGTGCAGTGTTTGGAAGCGGAATGAAAGCTCTCTCGTGTGTTTATTCAGCTCTCATGGGCCCTCGATGTGACCATCACATGACCTAAACACACTCGAACAGGAGATAAGATGTGGCCAGAGAGGAGATGCCCTGCTCACTGCCTGATGGATGATGTCATCAGGAGAGAAGAGGAAATGTTTTCCTGTCTATTTCTGTCCTATCTCTTACCCCCAGGCGTGTGCTACACGTCCATTTAAAGAGCAAAGTGAACAATGAGTCAGCCGATGATAGACCTTCATTGGAAAAAAGGAAGTCCTTTGTCAATTCTGTTTGTTTTGTGATGTCATTCACATTGACAGGCCCCAAACGGTCACTAAAACAGGTCTATCATAGAGCAGTGTCTTCACATTAATGGCGAGCGTGCAGGCAAATCTCTGCTTTTCTCGGAGAAACCAAAACCACATGTTTCTGAGGAGCTCAAGGTAAATCAGTGACTATATCCATAAAAGGAAAGCCCTAGCGCAATGCTTCAAAACTGATTATGTGGAATAAAAAGACATAAACAAATCCAGAAACCAGGGCCCGTTCTCTAAAAGCAGAATGGGCAAGTCCCGCTCTTTATTGGAAAGCCATCACGGACTGTTTTCCATGAGCTCATGAAGTTATGTGCAGTTGAAGGTATTCACCTCCCGCCAGGTCCGCTGGAGACGCCAGGAATACTAATGTCGCAGTTTGTTCATACGCAGCAGGAGCGAGAGTTTAAAATAATCTCCAGGAAGAGAAAAAAAGACCGCGTTCCCAACTTCCCACTGAGGTAGTAACAGGATTCCGACCAGTCGAGCTTTTTATTTGTTTATCTGTGTGCAAGCCAAATGAACAGAATACAGGATCAATAAAAGTGTGGACGAGTTTTTGCATTTCATTAATAAAGTTTGCAAAAAGTTAGAGAACCTAAAACCTCTCAGAAATACGACATAACACTCATGCTGGGTAAGTCATTTCATTAAATAAACTGTCTCTGTCTCCTACAACCGCTAGAGGCCACCAGCTTCCTATGACAACACTACAGCGAACATAACTATCATGACTTTTGAAGGTCTCACTGACCCTGGATCAGAATTTAGAGTTGCATTTCTATCATGCTGTTTTGGCCCCCGTACAGGATATTAATTTTCCACAACGCTTTCATTTCCTGCTCAAGATGGACTTTAAAATGTTTGTCTACTTGACTTGTCAGTGACCTTTCGCCTGCAGACGGACAAACACACACACATGATGGACATGTGACCGATTCATCACACCGTGGAAGGAATGTTCACCGTTATGATCTGTGGACATCCGATCTTGTTTGTGCATTCAGATAGACACAAATGCAATGCAAACACATACAGAACTGGCCTCATACGTGCGAGAGCTCACACACACATGCTGTCTGTCTGTCTGCTCGGGTCATTATGCTGAATCAGGCTGGTAAAGCCATAAAGAAGAAATATGTTGTGCAATTTCTTCGGTTATCTGTGTCATAGGAGAAGAGGTCAAGAACTGGATTGTAGCATTTATCAACAGTCAGAACTTTGAGTTTGTACGTGATAATAACAGATTATCATGGCAGATTATCAATAAACATTACGTTCAGCAACAACTGAGAGGCACGAAACTAAATATGGAGATTGATCTTACATAACTCATTTAGTGAAGATCACGAATGAATCGCACATTTTCGTTGCAATTAATTGTACCTAACGTTAAAGTTTTTAATATGTCTGCCAAACGCATTACACTTTCAGATATGCAAGTTTGATTAAAGAAAAAAAAAGCATTAACAATGCAAGCTAAAACCCACAAATGTTTCTATGTACACAGTTGTTGCGTTATTCAGTGCTATTCATAACACAATGCAAGTTGCGAACACAAACGCAAAACAAACATTGTTCCGCTAGAAAATCAGAATACCCTCATAACTCAATGCAAATATGAAAAGTAAATTTAGGGCCCGTCCACACGAAGACGTGTTTCGCTGTATACGTATAAATTTTTTTTATCGTATTGGCGTATCGTCCACACGGATCCAACGTTTTGGGAGAGTGAAACCGCTATTTTTTGAAACCGGGTCCCAAAGTGGATAAATCTGAAAACGACACCCTTGCGGTTTCGTGTGTACAGCCAATCCGTATATTTTGTGAAACGATGATGTCATCACGATGATGTTGGCTGCATCACACGCCATATTCGTCTTCTTCTTCTTGGTTCATGTACAGCGCGCAAGGTTATGCGCATGCTCAAACTCTTCTTCTCCGTGTATAGTGTATATCTGTGACAGAATTACAGCGCCCCATACTGGTCTGGCATATAAACTACACCGTTTTCATTCGGTTTCAGTGGTTTCGTGTGTACGCAGATATTTCTTGAGACGATGCCGTGTTTACGGGTTTTTTTTTTTGAACGACGAAAAAAAAAAACGGATAGGGAACGCACCGGGTTTGTGTGGACGTGGCCTTAATGCGGCATTGCATTTTGATGTTTAAACATTCTATTCATGAGGCAATATGTGAACGCGAACGCTTCACAGAATGCAAGCCCAATTTAAAATTTTGCGCTGCAAAATGTGTCAGAACACAATAATAAAAATTAAAAAAACAGGTAAATGCATTTAAGTAAGCAAGTGAGTTTTCACATGTTATGTCAAAATACAATTAACAACACAATGCGAGTACATGGTGCATTCTCAATGAAACCACAAGGGGCGCTAATGCTTCTTTTGTGTTCCTTTTGCATTTTCTGTTTTTCGCATACAGTCGACACGGATAAGCGAAAACTATTTAAAAAACACTGTCTTCCGCTGCCAGGCCAGTAGTTGGCGATGTCACTTTGTATAGAAACAGTACGCGCCTATAGACTGAACACGTAATACGTATGCACATGACATCACGGTTCACAAATTTACATTTCTGTAGTTTCTACTCGGTCTCATTTTCAAAAACTTGACCTTTTTAGTTTTCAAAAGTTTGCATTTTCAGCCCCCCAAAATGCAGTTGTGCAAATTAACGGCCAAAACCCATAAAAAGTTTTCTGGTTTTAGTTGAAAAACAGTGTCGTATAAACGGCTCCTAAGTCATAAAGGTTTTAAACAACATGAGGGTGATTAAAAGATTGCAGAAATTTAATTTTTGAGTGAACTATCACTTTTAATGTATGATGTATGAAATATAATGTAAGAAAAAGTGTGCAGTGTGATTTTTCTTTCCTATGTGTGTAGGCCTGTCTTAAGATTGTGGTTTCAAATGTTTAGTCTCTGTGAGCAGTTATCAGCGGTTTCTATGTCTGTTATCCATACGTCTGCGCTATAACTCTTTACAGATAGTGCGTCCGGCTGGTTAACAGTTTTTCTGATTAATTCCTGCTACGAACACTAAACTGGTGCCAGAAAACAACACCGTATGTCTCTCTGAGTGACTTTATGTTTATGGGCCCACAAACACGCATGACAAATTATGTTTTACCAATGCGTCTGAGTTTGAGGTAAATGAAAAAACATGTATGTGTGTGCGCACCATTTTATTTTTAGGTATTTTAGAGTGCGCTCATACATTCTTCTAGCCTGCCAACACTCGGCACACTGCCCACCGATACACTCAGACCTGTGCGTGTGTGACTGTGTTGTGAAATAGCCTGAACTGTAAATTATTAAACTAAAAGAAGGCTATATATCTGCTTACAGCTCATAAAAGCCACCAGCAATATTGTTGCCATGGAAATATACATGACTAGCGGGTGTTTCGACTGCTAGGTCAAACCTCAAGAATGGGGTCTATTCGCAGATAAAAAAAAAAAAAAAAACGATGCTAAATGCTAATAACAAAACACAAGTAAACAAACAGTCATTCTTAGTTAGTTTCCAATACAAACAATCAAACTCTACAGTAATTTAGCACAAATTCAATCACTTGGTTGAAGCTAGTTAAATCAGTCAGAGATGCTAACACTCAAAACCATAAACAAATCTACTCAGGGTGAAAGAACTAGCTACAACAACATGGTTTGTGCTGAACACAAGAAGATAATGTCAAGAACGCTGGGGTCCGAACAAAACTAGACCCCCTTGACTATCATTGAATGGACTAAAAAGTTTTTCAAAATAGCTTTTGTTCTCCACAAGAAGAAAGGGTTGGGATGACATAAGGGTGAGAAAACAATGACAGAATCTTCATTTTTGGGTGAACTTTAGCAGAATAGAAAGATTTCATTGCTTCCAGCAGCTGTTCTGGGTTCTGCGGTGACCGAGCCGCAATGTTAAACAACAACCAATGCCACGTGCCGCAGCGTGCCGAATGAATCCGGTATGTCTGATTAATGAACAAGCGGACACTTAAGCCCTGCCTGACCTCGATGACCACAGCATAACTTACCAACTAGGTCAGTTCCTAGGTCAACTATGCTGGTCCATTAGTGACCCCAAAATCATAACTCAAGGTCTTTAACACATAGGTCACTTATAGTGAGCAGTCCGCCGTGACCTTTAAACCCAACTGCAATGGAAACTGTCAATTGTTTGAAGAGTGATACGTTTAATGGGGACCATTAAAGCAACTTTACACAGGATTTAAAGCATCTGCTCTTGCACCACTGAACGCGTGCGGAGCACACTCGTGGATGGACTTCCCATGAGATGGGCTGAAACGAGCCAAACACAACATCGGATTATTATAGTTTTAGCTGACACCCTAAATGACAAACTACAGCCGGCCCAAGAAACAGGCCAGTGCTGCACATTTCCCAAATGATTCATTGATTCAAAATTTCAATGACTGGTGTATCATGGCATTCCCATAATTGAGTATCTTGCAGGAGAATAGCTATGACATTAGACTGACTGATTTAGCAGACGCTCACCTCTCTTCCAGAATGGCGCTCGATGGCCTTCTTGACTTTGCCGTACGTTCCTCTCCCCAGGGTCTCCAGCAGCTCGTATCGATGCTTTAGGTTGTGTTTGTGATGATGTTTCTTCACACCAGAGCTGCTGCGTTTTACCTCACCGGGGCCCTCAGGGGCCTCCGCCACCACTGAGGGGCCCGACGGGTCACCTGGCCTTTGTGTCTCCATCATGCGGGAGGATACCTCCCTCTGTTTAAATATCTTGACTAAATGCTTTGAAAATATTGATAATATAAAACCTAATTAATATACCTAATTAGCATAAAAATAAATAAATAAATTACAATGCAAAGATATTAACTAATTTATGATTGTCAATAATGACTCATATTTTAATGAGGTGTCTATCTATTCTACTCATAGCCAGCTATGGCAGGCTATGTAAAGAAAAATAATATTCCTAGTTTAATTATGAACGATAAAACCAGGTTCAGTATGGATTAAAAACGTACTAAAAAGGCATATTATTAAAAAAGAATCCAATGAACATGCGCCAAGTGGTTTCTATGGCACTTATAAAACTGCTACAATGTGTCATTCACAATTAGAACGACAAAGTATCTATTGTGCTCTATTCTATTATGACGCGATCTATACCATTATGACGTTTCCTACTCCGTTATGACGTGTTCTCTTTCCCGTGGCGCGTTCGATCATGATTTCTCCGTTATTCCTTTGTTTCAATCTACCGCAGAAAATCTCAGGCGAGAAAGCAGCGACCACGCCGGCGTTCTGGACGTAAATCACCCTCATTCTGGCCTCTGATCCGCCGTGGTGTCAGACAGCTCGGTTCTGGTGCCGGAGACCCGTGACATGAGGCTCGGTGTGCGGGGATCGGACGGAAGGATGTGCTGCGGTCTCGTGTCTGCTGTGGCCATGATTCGGTGTGTTCGGCCCGTCTCTCCTCCTGGTGTCCTGATCTGATTCTTTCTCTCTCTGTCCTTCAGGCTGAGAAACACACTGAATAAAGACGGAGGGGGCGGAGTCACTGCTGGCAGTGTGTGTGTGTGTGTGTGTGTGTGTGTGTGTGTGTGTGTCTCTCTCTCTCTCTCTCTCTCTCTCTCTCTCTCTCTCTCTCTCTCTCTCTCTCTCTGAATGTGCATTACTCTGATTTTTGCTGATTTTCGGATTCTGCTTCACTAAAGTGAAAATAGAACGGTAAATGCTATTTTTTAAATAACCATCAAACAGGCTTTTAATTCAAGCCAAGCCTGTATGGATTTTAAAATAGGCTATTTGAATTAATAAAAACGACACACGCATGTTGTGTTTTCATGTTTTATGGGGACTTTCCATAGATATATTGTATTCTACCCCTAAACCTACTCATCACGCAAAACTTTCTGCATTTTTTAATTTTCCAAAAACATCCCTCAGTATGATTTATAAGCTGTTTTCCTCATGAGGACCAAAAAAAATGTCCCCACAAGGACAAGGATTTTGGATATTGCCATCTTTGTGGGGCCACAGCATATATTTGTACCTTTTATATCTTAATTTTAAGTATTTGGTGAGTTTTTGCCTTATAGGCGACAATATGACACATTAACATAATTTGCATAGAAGCTGTTTTGCTCCTTTGTTCAGCATGATCACATTCATTTGAATATCAGTCATGCAAAGGTCTAAAAGCAAAGGTCCATTGTGTTTCATAACTCACATAAAGCAGGAAAGATGCATCCATCTTTGTTCATGTGCCAAATATTGCCACATGTCCTGAATTATGACCGTCATAAATACACCAGTCTGGTTGAACTGAAATACCAAGCTGAGAAACAGTCCAGACACAGTTCAGGTGTTCTTGACTGCAGAAAGCATCACACACAGTCTGAAACCTCACACACACTGCACATTCCACCTCAGCCAATCAACTCTGTTTTCCTTTGTTTGCTTCTGTTTGGATCCAGAACGGCGTGATTTAGCCACTGATTGGTGGAGTGGAAGTTTGAGTCAAACAGACTCCAGACTGTTTGATCTGGAGAGCACTGGGAATCTGGACCGTCCTGTGTTGTGGTGAGCGGTCAGGCAGCGGACTTCAGGCTCCAACAGTAACTGTGTGCATGTGTGTTGCTCTAAGATTTGCATCTCAGATGAAACTTGGCCTTAGATCACCCTGGAATCAGGTATCATGGCAGTCAAACTGCCCTCTAGTGGTGGAAATGCATGTGTGGGTCACACACAGCTATTCAGGTCAGCAGTGCCAGAGCATCATGGGTTTCAATATATCAAACCAATCAGTGGACCATCCAAATGTTTGATTCAACAAGACCTGAGTTCGAATTTGTGCCTTTGTTTTGCTAAGGCCTTAAAAGTGCTAGGCATACATGTTTGTCTATTCTAAAGTCTATTTAAATACCACTCTAGTGATTGAGAGAAAAAAATTATGTAACAAAAATTTTAAACAAAAGGCCTGCTGAATTATTCACATAGCACCTCCTTGATCCTTAGACATGTTATGGTTTCATTTTTCTCTTGGACATCAAACACAGATTTGTTTTAAGATGTTTCATTCAGGTATTTGAAGCCCCTCAGGCATCTGGCAGAGTTTTCGCCGCAACTATTTCAAGTTCGGCACAGAGACATTCCCTACACTCACCAAATTAAAAACAGCAGGAACCACGGAGGACAAAGAAAGATGAGAGAGAGAGAGAGAGAGCGATCGAGAGAGAGAGAGGTGGCCATAGAGAAACACAGATAACAGAATGCTATATTACAGTTTTTCTCCATTGGTTTGGCTCATTTCTTGAAACAGAAATAACATTCTCATAACTCTAAGATCATTTGGCAAAACAGTCTTACAGTTCAGCACAACACTATAGCTCACTTGCAAAAGCTCATATGTCTCCCAAAATGGTTCACTCATGCTTCAAAATTAAATCCATTTCTCATATAAAGAGTCAGTGCCACCAAAATGGCAAAGATCCTTCTCAAATGCTTTGGCTCATTTCTTGAAACGGACCGGACGTTCTCAACACTCTTGGTGCTTTTGCCGAAATAACGTGGATGGTTCGGCACAACACCATGGTTCATCTGCAAAAGCTCATACCTCACTCAAAACAGTTCACTCATGTGGCAAAACTAAATTTCCTTCTCATTTAACCAGTCAGTGCCCCCAAAATGCCTAGTCCCTTTGGCATTGTGTAAGCACTGCAAGTCAAAATGTTTAGATGTTTTTGTCACTATGGCAGAGGACCATTGAACTATCCCTCATGTCCACCTTTCAGTCTTAGCCCAGTCCTTCATTGACAATGGTTACTGTACTGTTTTTTGTCTAGCTAACAGAATACAATTGTGTATAAAACTACTTTTTTTGGGGGGGGGGGGGGGGGGGGATTTTAGGGCAAGAGTATACAGATACATATATAGACAGACAGACAGATGGGTGGATAGACAGACGGACAGGCAGACAGACAGATAGATGGATAGCTAGATAGATGGATGGATAGATGGACAGACAGACAGATGGACAGACGGACGGACGGATGGACAGATAGATAGATATATAGATAGATGGATGGACGGACGGACGGACGGACGGACAGACAGATAGATAGATAGATATACTGTATTGTAGGATAGAGTGCCCAGTCTAGTATGCTTCAGTTGTATATTGATTTATGAAATAAATATCCATTTAAACCCAGACATTGATATGTGCGAACTGTTCAGTGTTAAACTGTGTATATACTGCACACACACTAGGCTCAGACTTGGTTTCCATTAAACGGAGAAAAATGGGATTTTGTTTTATTGACGATCACTGAGAAATGGTCTATTATTTAAAATGCAAAAAACATGTATTATTTTCAAGGTGAAAAGGATTCATTTGCCTCGATCCACGCCGAAACAAAACGTCTAAATGTCACGTTTTTAATGAAGCAGCCTAAATGGTCCACTTTGGAAAACGTGTAGGTGTCACGGTTTAACCCCCTCAAACGTAAAACTTACACGTTTGCGTTAACACGCTCCAGTGGAGAGATACCCGTGTTGACCTATTCTACACGCAATCGCCTCTGCCATAACGACCTATTGGTTTTCATTAAACCAAGAAAAATAATTTTGTTCTATTGATGATCACTGAAAAATGGTCTATTATTTAAAATGCAAAAAAACATTTATTATTTTCAAGGTAAAAAAAGATTCATTTGCCTTGATCCACGCCGAAGAAAACGTCTAAATGTCACGTTTTAAATGAAGCAGCTTAATGAGTAAAATGTCTATTTTTCCGGCGTCCCCCAGCTCCTCGTTTGAGCAAAAGGTACGCTAAAACAACCTATTACATCGACGTTAAGCCGCGTTAACCTTGTTAACCATAACCTTTTAAGTACTCGACCTAGTTCCGTTGTTTAGCAACGGGAAGAAACTCCTGTAACTTCAGTGCCCAACCCGATATCACGACAAGACGTGAAATAATCACGTTGGTCCACTTTGGAAAACGTGTAGATGTCACGGTTTAAAACCATAAATAGGGCTATACTGCCCTCTTGTGTCAAATTCTTTCTATATTTATTTTTACAACAAATAAAACCAAACCTGCAAAAAAAACCATCCGATAAACCCTTGAACTCAACAGCTTCAGTGGCTCAGTTGATAAAGATTTGGGCTTTAATCAAGAAGACCTGAGTTCAAATCCCATTCTTGCTTACATTAAATTGTTGTGATTATATCAAACAAAGTGACCAAAACAACATTTCTCCAGCCGACAAGACGTGAAATAATCACGTTGGTCCACTTTGGAAAATGTGTAGATGTCACGGTTTCACCCCTTCAAACGAGAAACTTCCACTTAAACTGAATCTTAAACTTACCATAACGACCTAGAGCAGTGTGTGGTGTGTGCCATTCCACATGTGGCCTCTTTTGTTTAAAGATACTTTGCTTCCATCTAGTGTCGCATCTGGGCGTTGATCTCGGCTGTGATTTCCACTTATTCTCTGTCAGCCAATCATGCAGAGGTCGCTAATGAGCGGCTGTTGATTAATGACACACTGATGATGAGTTTGAGTCTGATCTGCAGACTCGGAGAGCAAACGAATGCATGGCTTCAGTTCAAGATAAAGTTGCTGCATTAAATCTTGCAGGGAAATTATACAGCCCCATGAACCGACCTCCCGGTAATGCCAACTTTATGAAACTTCAAGCTAGTGTGTTTTAAATGTAAAGATAGAAGATCAAATACTTGTATGTTTCTTCAGATCGCAGATTGATCAACAGACCTCAAGATGAACAGACCAACAAGGTTCAAAACAAAGACATCTGGAGGCACATCATCACTGTCCTGCAGGCCCAGGTGAAGGTGAAGAAGCGCAGGCAGCATCTGAAGTCTCACGACAGCTGCTTTCTGGGCTCTGATGCAGTGGATGTCATCCAGGCTCATCTGACTCAGAGCCAGGTTCTGGGAGATGCCCTGGTCTCCAGAGTCATGGTGGCCCGTCTGTGTCAGGTGCTGCTGGACTGCAAGGTGTTTGAGGCGCTGGGAACCAAAGGTCTGGGGAAGATCAGTAAACCAGGAGTCTTCCAGGACAGCAGCAGCAGTCTCTACAGATTCCTGAACACCGAGGATCTGTCCCAGGACATGCTTGAAATGGCTCTTTTCCCTCACAGTGAAGAGAGCATTATGAACATCACACCATGCAGGTGTTTCAGATATCTGTGGATGTTTGTGGTGCAGCACTGAATGTTTTATAATGATTGCGGTTGTTGATCTTCGTAGGCCGGACATCCTGTTATTCTCTCACAGCACACCTGTGAAGCCGGGTCAGACACTGGATCGGCTCATGGAGAAGCTGGACTTGACTGGACTTGTCGGTTCTCCTCCTGATGAATATATTCCACCCTCTGGTGAGAGCTTTGTTCAGATTTGGCTTCTGTTTGAGGTACAAAAGCTGTGCTTGTATACTTTGCACTGTAATCTACTGAGTGGTTTTCTCATGTCGAATGTTAAATGCAGTGAATGGTGTTACTCTAACTAAATAACCTGCTAAAGTATCTTTAAAATGTATTTTAATTTGAATAGTTAAAGCTTGTCTGTCTCGTTTTTTGTTTTGTTTTTTTCAAACTATTATAGTTACATTTATGTAACTCTGATGTGGCAATATAGTATATTGCAACATTAAATGTTTTGTTTATTTAAACTCTCTCATAATCTTAGAACAGTTTCAATTTAAATTTAGGCATACAATCTTTTTTTCCTAATTTTGATCCAATTTTGTTTAAAATAAAAACTGTATTAAATGCTTGTCATTGTTAGTCAAAAATAAAATAATAATTTATTTGTAAATCTGTCAGGTGGCATTTTATAAAAAAAATAAATATATATATATATATATTAAAATGTATGAATATTTTTATTTTATTAATATTTCACACACACACACACACACACATATATATATATATATATATATATATATATATATATATATATTATAAAAAATATATTTTTTAAAATGTATTAATATTTTTTAATCTACTATTAGATAAAAAAATATTAATACATTTTATTAGAAAAATAAAAATAATAAAATGTATTAATATTTTTTGATCTAATATATATTTTAATTATAATTTAATTAGTATCTTGAGGCCACGAGTTAGTATCTTGAGGCCACAAGATAGTTATAGTTATTTTTTTTTTTGCCAAAGTGGGACTAGGGGGGCTCCGTAGGGGTATGCATACTGTGAAATGTGTTTTTTGTTTGTTTGTTTTTTTAAATCCAAGCGCTTCATTCAGCGGACTTTGAACGCTCCAGGGCTTTCATGAAAACAGTTTGGCCTAAAACACTGTTCGCGGTCATCCAATTTGAAATCTCGACTACAAACACATTTTTCAGATTTTCATCACACGGTTCTTTCCCCATTTACGATTCTTTGCAGTGTTTAGCCGTTGCCTACAACTGAAAGAAACTCCCGCTGAATGTTTACTCTTGTTAATTCTTGCACCTGAGAACGATTGACACCATTATAACGGAGCGTTTGCTAAGAAGTATTTCCTACTCAAGCAAGGCTGAATTTGACTCTGGTTAGCGTATCCATAGCAAACTGGTGGGAGTGACCTTGGACAGCAGCATGCCCAGTGCATTATGGGTGTTGAAGTTTTCCTACCTATTCAGCAAAAGAAAAAAACAATTTTCTCTTTTGAAGTTCCCCTTTCACAGTTTGTTGTTCTCTCCTTCAGTGGTCAGAGAAGTGTGGCAGGAGCAGACGGTACGCAGGCTGTCCCAGCTGATAGATCTCCCCCTGCTGGAAGGGGTGCTGAACTGCGCACGCATCGTCTCCCCCCCGTCCCGCGGCAGAGATAATGAGCCAGGCCTGCTGTACACCAGCAGCTACCTCGACCGAGAGGTTCTGAAGGCCTTCAAACAATCACAGTGAGAAATCTTCACCTTTAACCGGTCAAGAAATGAAACCTCAGATGAGCCTAATAAGAGTCTTCCTCCATCCAGAGCTGATGTTTGGTTGTCGGCAGCCATAGACCTGCTGGATTTCCTTCCGGATCATCTGGTGGTGGAGGTGAGCAGAGAAATGCCCACGTTCGCCTGTGAGGAAGAGGATGGAGAGGTCAGACCCTCAGTCCACAATGAATGCAAATTGCTGCTGTTTCACGTGCTGGAAAAACACTACGGACACGTGGAGCGCAGGCCTCTCCTCTGTGACAGCATGGCAGACGTCTACATCCAGATCATGGAACTCCTGGGTGAAGCTAAATGATTCATTCTTTCCAAAACAAACCAATGTTTTTGTGTGTGTGTGTCTGAGCATCTGTTTACCTGTATATCTAGCGAACGGGATGTTTGAAGGAGCTTTGGAAGTCCTGCAGCTGACGCTGAAGCTGCTGTCTGCGTCTGCACGCGAGGAACTGCGCAGACTTCTGGAGTTCATGGCAGCGGCTGCAGACGCTGCGAGTGTCCGGCTGCACAGAGAAGTGAGGAGTCCTAATGCATGTGGGGAGTTATTCACCACACATCTGTCATGTTTCCGCTTATTTTGAGTCTGATTCTTCAGATTGAAAACCGGGTGGTTGTGAAGAAGACGTTCACCAGAGCCGTCATCCAGAGCAAGAGTCTGACCAAAGGAAACATGGACCTGCTGATGCTCTTCATGCTCGACAACCACCAGGAGATCTTCAAGGTTTCTCTCAGAAAGTGATGATCAATAATGATATCATTCAGAAAGAAGCTGTTGTGCATTACAGTTTGACCTTTTATTAGATTCCAGGTTCTCTTCACAAACTGGTCAGTGAGAAACTGGATGAGATTGTGAAACAAAGAGATTCTACGTCTACCGGTATGGTGTTTACAGTGTTGAGTAAATTATTAGTATTATTTTTTTTTTGGTAATATTTTCAATTTGCTTTATATTTTGTATAATTATTATTATTATTTTTTTTCATTTTGGTTATGATTCATTTGTCATTGTAATCACTTGAATTGATTTTTAATTAATTTAACTACAATTAACTTATTTCAGTTATATTTATTAACTTTTTTTAATCTAATATTTATATTTAATTTCAGGTTTTTTTTATTTATTTTCATTTTCATTTGTTTTCTTTTTTCTTTTTCATTTCAGTTTGTTGTTTTCCATTTCATTTGACTTTTTTAATCTAATATTTATATTTCATTACAGGTTATTTTTATTTATTTAGTTAGGGTTTTTTTTTCAGCATTCATTATAATTTGCTGATTGCCAAGGCAACATTTCTATTTTGACTTTATTTCATCTAATTATATTTGATTTCAGTTTTTTTTTCATTTTATATATTTATACTTTTTTTCTTTCCAACTTTCATTTTAATTTGTTGTTTGCCAAGGCAACATTTCTTCAACAGTTTTATCCAATTTTTTTTTATTTCAGCTCTATTTTGTTTATATGGTAGGCTATTGTTGTTTTTATTATTTTTTAATTGTCTATTATTCTTTATATTCTCATTTCATTTTAATTAGTAATTTTTATAATAATGTGCTTTGTCACTTTTAGTTTAGTTTTATTTTACATTACTATTTTGGTCATTTATTTAATTTATCTATTTGGGTAAATTTATAATTGTTTTAGTTAAATTTGATTTTGTTATTTTAGTGCTTTATTTAAATTAACAAATGTTAACAATTTTACATATTGAGAATAATCCTGGATATTTATATTATTGTGTGACCATTTAACTTAGCCATGCTAATGTTCATGTGACAAGTATTTATTGCATTTATCTTCTGTATATTAGACACCCCACTTTGTCAGCGAGTGCCAAGAGACGCGTACACAGAGACCATAAAGAACGTGACTAAAAACGAGCTGTACTCTCTCCTGAAAAACATCGACGAAAACACCAAATATTCCCTGAAAGAGAAGAACCGACTCCTGGCACAGTTTTATAAGGGACATCCAGACATCTTCACGCAGTATTTTGGGTCTAGACTGAGCACACTAAACCTTGAAGTTTAAGTTCATGGTGTCCTGGAAATGCATTTTTTTTTAATGTCTTAATCCAAATAAACATATATTTAAGTGTCAAATAAGAACTGGGTGTGTGTCTTTGAATAGCAGCAATAGGTTTTCCTCCTTGGTAGGAAAATAATTCTTGATAGGTCTAAAAATACATTTAGCTTCATCATAAATAATAAAGTTTCTTCATGTTGGCATGTGCGGAGAGTATTTAACCATTGTTTATACCATGTTTATAGCCTGCAGTAGTTCGTTCTCTCACCCCTATACTTATACTTTTGAATAACATTTATAGATAGAAGTGAGAGTGGTGAGAACAAATAGGTGGTTCAGTGTTGCAATATTATGTTGATAGCTTCATAAAAAAGTGTTAAAACACAGCAACCTATCAGATATTGAGGCAGAAATGATTTTTTTGTGCTTTTCATGCTATATTATTATGCTATATTATTGTCTTTAATTAAAGTATTGTTGTTCTGTATGTAGGCTATGTTTTGTACTGAATGGGCTTTATGCACAGCTGCACTACTTCCTGAACTTAAGCCAGCTCCTTGTTTCCTGTCTGCCATTATTGGCCAAGCTTGATTAATTCAGGTGTGTCTGATTATCGTTGCCGTGACTACTGAGGTCAAGCACACCTGAGTTAATCAATTTGTCCAATAATGGCAGACAGGAAACAAGGAGCTGGCTGAAGTTCAGGAAGTAGTGCAGCTGGGCATAAAGCCAATTCTGATGCACTTATCCTTCATGGTCTTCGTTTCCTGTGTACACTTCTGGGTTTCGGGGTCTATACGACCCCAACAATTGATTGAGTAATAGTACAATTAATATATCAATTTTTTGTTTACTTCTCATCTATTCATTATTGCTGTGTTTTCGGAGATATAAAGTACTTTTGTATCCATATTACATAATTCCTCAACTACACCATTAGCTTTAGCATTAGCATATAAAATATTTTTATGATACATTGCATTTATGCCCTAGTACTTGGCCTTCATTTCTGTGTAAAAATATTCAGATTTATGCCGGATTTTTTTTTTTTAACATGAAGAAAATATATTTAGTTTTTTTTTTTTTTTTTTTTTTTTTTTTAACATGAAGAAAATATATTTAGTTTTTTTTCCCCCATTTCCAATTCATTTCAATGTGGAGTCATATTGTATGGAAGCTTATGTGTAGCATTATTCAATTTGAAATGTAATATGCAAAATGACACTGCAATATGTAAAATGGCATTGCATTTTGTATTTAAATTTACATTTTACATTACCATTCTAGCAACGTTTGGTGCAAAATGAAAATAAAAATGAAATGACATAATTTACATTTGCAATTTCATACACTAGTTTTAATATGCATATTGAAACGCTTTATAAGTGGCAAAATTAAAATGAAAATGCATTACAGAAATTATTAGATATGTGTAACATGTTAAAGCAAAAACTGTGGCAAAATGATCATTCAAATGCTATTTTTATTAATTGCATTTACACTCACAGTCAAGACACTCGCGATTGCATTTTCACGAAATGCCCCGGAATGGATGTAGCAAAATTCATGCACTTTGAAAATGCAATCCGAGCCGACCACGCCCCCTCCTGGCCTGTCAATCACTGCATCAAGGCGGGCCTCCACAGTTTTTGCTTGATTATGTCACACATATCTAATCATTTCTGTAATGCATTTTCATTTTCATTTTGCCACTTATAAAGCGTTTCAATTATGCATATTAAAACTAGTGTATGAAATGGCAAATGTAAATTATGTCATTTCATTTTCATTTTGCACCAAACGTTGCTAGAATGGTAATATAAAATGTAAATTTAAATACAAAATGCAATGCCATTTTACATATTGCCTTGTCATTTTGCATATTACATTTCAAATTGAATAATGCTACACATAAGCTTCCATAATATTGAACCCTAAGACCAGAAATGTAAACATTTTTGTACATACCTTCTTCAGAATCAATCCCAGGTGATGAAAAGTTACAAAATCTTATTCCATTGAGATGAAGGGAACGGTTTTTGGGTTTTTTTGTTAAGTAAAAGTCGATTGGGGTCGTATCGACCCCATGACCCGATTGAGGGTTAAAAGTATGTCGCAAGCGTTTTTAATGAACTAAATTTGCTGAACGTTATTACAAACAAACCATAACCTTTTATTTAGTGTCCTGTGCCTTTAATGCTGATGCGTGCGTCTCGAGTAGCGCCTCTGGCTCCGTCCATTCTTTACGCGTTTCAAACTCTGATTGGCTCTTCAAACCTAGACAGACACAAACCCGTCCAATCAGAATCCGTTGGGTTGGGACACGTCACATTTATCAGCGTGCGCTTCCAGCGGCTGTTCTCAGATCAGTTTGAGAGGGTGTATGTTCCCATAGTGATCATACTTACTCATCTGTTCCTGGATCAGTTATAGGTGCTGAAATCCCGCCCGGGTTTGATCGTAATGTCTGGGGCGCAGCTTAAATCTCCTCCCCGGATGCCTCAGAAACCCTAAAACACAGTCATCGCCACACACACAGTTTTTTCGGGTCGTTCATGGTGCGGATCTGTGAGAAGAGGATGAAGTTTTTGGTGGCAGTCACATTGATCGTTGGCTCGGTGATTTTCCTGCTTTTCCCGAGCGGATCAGAGGCGGATGAGAAGAAAAAGGGACCAAAAGTCACGGCTAAGGTACAGAGACGCTAACGTTACATGCACTGCAACATTGAATCTGGCCTATTGGATACAATTGATGGAATTCGAATTACTAATGTTGCGTTCACACTTTAATTCAGCGTGATAGATTCGTGGAGTCCATTTCTTTTTGCTGGTAAAGTCTCGGTTTTGCTTTTTTATTTAAATTAAACAAAGTTCATTGGTTTTCTGCAAAATATGCTAAGGTCGGTAACACTACAGAAATTTTTTATTTTTCAATATTGCAGCAGTATTTGTCACTTAAACCGAAGTCTAAAGATAAGTGGGGGGTTTGTGGTCTCTTGGTGGAGTGGAATTCCTATGCTCTAAAAAGCATCTCCTGCAGAAGTGTTTTTTGATGTACTGCTGTTAACTCTGGATTTGGTGGGTTGTTTTCCCAGGTGTACTTCGATATCAGGATCGGAGATGAGGATGTAGGACGGATAGTTATTGGACTCTTTGGAAAGACTGTCCCTAAAACGACGGAAAATTTCCTCCAGCTGGCCACTGGAGAGGTGAGTGTATCTTTCCACTGGGGGTCAGTGTTCATGAATCACAGTCAATTGAGACTAAACTGTGTGATTTCGATTTCCAGAAAGGATTTGGTTACAAAGGCAGCAAGTTTCATCGGGTGATTAAAGACTTCATGATCCAGGGAGGAGATTTCACCAGGGGAGATGGAACCGGAGGTATTGAAATACAAAAGATTGAAATTTTTACCATTTATGATGTCATAAGATTAGAACTCAAAAGTTATCAGCCCAATACTACAAAAAATGAGTTTGAGGTCGCTTAAATGCCAAAAAAAAAAACACCCAATAAACTGATTTCTAACACCTCTTTCTGTCTTTATGCAGGTAAGAGCATCTATGGAGACCGTTTCCCTGACGAGAACTTCAAGCTGAAGCATTACGGTCCTGGTTGGCTCAGCATGGCCAATGCCGGCAAAGACACCAACGGCTCCCAGTTCTTCATCACCACTGTCCAAACGCCATGGCTGGACGGCAAACATGTTGTGTTTGGCAAAATCCTAGAGGGCATGGTGAGTATATCCACTCTGTCCATCTGTAGAGGCGTTCTTCCTTCTATATGATTCCTGACTGGTAAAGTTCAGGTAAATAAGTGCTTTACTCCAGAGATTGCGCTAATTTTGAGCGTTTCCCCCTTTGTCTTCAAGGACGTTGTGAAAAAGATCGAGGGCACGAAGACCGATGGCCGAGATAAACCTCTCAAGGACGTCACAATCCACGACAGCGGCAAGATCGAAGTGGAAAAGCCTTTTGCAGTAGCTAAAGAGTAATTTAAGTTTGAGGAAACAACGGGACTCTGGGTTTAAGGGGATTTCATTTGGTGCCACTAGAGTTCTAGTGGTAAGTGAGTGCTTGTGTGTGAGTGTGTATGTGGTCATTGGAGCTCCGCCCCTTTCGTGGGACCATCACTCACCAGTCCTGATCCGCAGAGCGGCACATCCTGGGTCCAGTTCTAACAGGCATTCCAATCGGTCCGGGTTCTGACCCACTTCAACCTGCTTTTATAATCAAATCTTCAATAAAGGATCCAGGTTTTCTTAATGTGTTGTCTCATTTGAATAATTCCTTGTTTTGTTTTTTTTGACCAATAACTAATCAGTCTTTATTTAATACACAAAAATACACTTTTAAAATACAGACAAATGGCTTGGCACAGTCAAAATCAGTGACCTAAACCATGGTTTGAAATGTGAATTTCATAATGAAATGTAAAGCTGATTTATATATATATATATATTATTACAGAGTTTAAAGGAACACTCTGACTTTTTTTGGACTTTAGCTTATTCACTGTATCCCCCAGAGTTAGATAAGTCCATACATACCTTTCTCATCTCTGTGCGTGCAGTAACTCTGTTTGATGCTCCTAGCTTAGCACAAAGACTGGATGTAAATGGCTACAGCTAGCATACTAATCCCAAATAACTGACAAAATAATGCACATTTTTTCCTATTTACATGTTGTGATTTGTATAGTCACAGAGTGTACAAATAATAAGGTAATATGAGACACATATCTTTTAACCATATACATATTGGGAACTATATTGTCAGAAAGGAGCACTGCTACTTGGGCGGAGTGATAACCGTAGCAGTGCTTCGTCTTCTGAGAATATAGTTCCCAATATTTATACGGTTAAAGGATATCTGTGTCTCATATTACCTTGTTATTTGTACACTCTGTGATTATACAAATCACAACATGTAAATAGGAAAATTGTGTTATTTTGTCTCTTAATGGGATTATGCTAGCTGTAGCCATTTATATACAGTCTTTATGCTAAGCTAGGCTATTGGTGGGTGCGTCAGATAGTTACAGCACACACGGCGATGAAAAAGGTATGTATGGACTTATCTAACTCTGGGGGATACAGTGAATAAGCTAAAGTCCCAAAAAGTCAGAGTGTTCCTTTAAATATCTCATGAGACCATAAAGATTTGTCTGACGGGCACAAAACCAAATAATATTAACAATCATTAAGCAGCGCAACTTTTCAACTTTGACAATAAATGGGTCTTGAGCTCCAAATCAGCACATTTATTTTAAACTAATATCTCCCAATATAGTATAATATGTAATATAGTAACAAAGTACAATTAATTCTACATCCTTGTAATATTATTTTTGTCCGTATAATTGATGGGACTATTTTCTTTGATTTTAAGGTTGGAAAATGGACCGTTTCTAGACGAGATTCAGTCGATATAAACATGCAAAGGCACATTTAGACAAGTGAGGTTGCTAGGTAACACTGCAGTGATGCACCTATGTTCTCTGTGACTCTGGTAGGGAGCTGATGTCACTTCTGTTTATGGTAATGATGGGGATTCTGGGATACACGGACAGCTCTGGTGCACAGGCGAGGACACTGGGTTTACCACAGATCTTCTTGAAACTCACTTTGACGTCTCGGGGGTACATACCCTGCAGGACACCGGCCGCCACGATATCAGGGAGGTCTGGGAGGGGAAATGACCATCACACACAGTTTCCCAGGATGGTTTTTGAGTGTAAAAAAGACATTTCTGTAATGAAATATCAACAATCTGCCAGGTTTACCTGATCTGGATTCAAGCTGGTAAGGGTCTGCAGAGAAACCAACTACTCTCTGATGGAATGACTGAAATCTATAAAAAGACATTGTTCAGAGAACATGAATGTGGTTTCGAATAAATTTGAATCCAAATGTAGGTGTTATAAATAATGAGGATGAACACACCTGTATCCTTGCTCTTGACAGTCGTCTGAGTGGTTTTCACTGAAAGGACATTAATAAGTAAATATTGTTATTCATTTCCTTAAATAATAATGCTCTTAATTAACTGTTAAAATGAAGTCCCCTTTTATATGTTCCTAATTTTATTTTGGAGATCTTCTACAACAGGTTTGAATGCATTAACCATAAAAACACAATTTTTCTAATAATACACACTGCAGCATAGGCTGTCTGTTTCTGAAACGCTTTGATTAAGGATTCAGTCTCTCTTAACCCCTCCTTTCTGAGAGTCTACTCTGCTCTGATTGGTCAGATGGTTAAATGAAGACCATAATCTAGCATTATGCAAATGTGTTACAAACATAGGTAGGTCCAAACAGGGAATAAGAATCGGTTCTTCCTTTTAGGCGGCAATAACTCGATTCATTGAGCACTCTGATCTATGAATCTGAGCAATGTGCAAAAAAGCGTAATGGGGGACTTTAAAATGTGGAGGCATTGATAGAATACACTGATAAACACATACTCAGAGCTGCAGGTCTTGCTCGCTGAATGAAAATGTTTGACCTGCAGGAAGTCCAGGAGCTCTTGAGGAACAACATCATTCTGATACAGAATCACCTGCAATTGGCAGACAATTAAACAATTTAAATATATTTCAAAATATTTGATATAATATTTCATTAGGGCTGTGCAAACATTAATTGTGATTAATCGCATCCAAAATAAAAGTTTGTCTTTACATAATATATGTGTGTGTGCTGTGTATAATAAATTTGTATATATAAATACATATGCATGCATGTATATATTTAAGAATTATTTGCATGTAAATAGATCAACTATATTATATATAAATAGAAGTATTTTATATATAAATAACACATTTTCTTAAATATATGCATGCATGTGTGTGTATTTATATATACAAAATAATTATGTAAACACAAAATTTTATTTTGGATGTGATTAATCGCAATTAATCTCTGCACAGCCCTATATTTAATATATACAACAGTTCAAAAGATTGGGGTCAGTATGGATGTTTTGAAAGAAGTCGATCTCACCAAGGATGATCAAAAAATACAGTAATATTGTAGTGAAATATTATTACAATTTAAAAAACAATTGCTGATACGGTGCTCAAGAACCATATATTGTCATCAATTTTGAGAACAGTAATGCTGCTTAATATGTGAGAACAGTAATGCTGCGTAATATGTTTTGAGGATAATTATGTTTTTCTAATCATAATTTGATGATGAGAAAGTTCAAAAGAACAGCATTTATTTGAAATAGAAAATTATTATAAATGTCTTTACAGTCACTTTCCACCAATTTGCATCTTTGCTGAAAACAATTCTTTCACGAAAATAAATTCTAGAACAGTAGCCTGTCTAATAATAGAAAGCATACAATAAGAGTATTTATTCCACATAATTATATAAAAATATACACTAAAAACAAAACCTTGAGGGGTGAGAATGGTAAATTAGGAAGATAGGCTACTACTACCCTATTTGTGAAGTATGCTGCACGCAGACTGTGACTTTGTGTAAAAATGAAAAAATAAAAATAAAAGGTACTTTAAAAAAACGAATAAGGGTCTCCACCTGGATGTAGTCTTCCAGTTCCTGTTGTCTTTGCTCCAGTGGTTTGGTTCGCAGGTGCTGGTTTCTCTTACTAGGGAAATCGGGAGCGCGCACAATCTTCTTCAGCTTCCTGTGAAGCGTCTGAAAATCACTGTATCGCCGCAAAACAAAGTGTTTCCTTCCATTGAAGAGAATCTCCACCCTGAAGAGCTAAAAATACAAGAAAGTCCATATTACAAAACCTGTAAACGATTAAATCAGACTTCACAAAAAACGAATTAACTACCACGAGACAACATAATTGTGCAGCGATGATTAATGACCAGCAGGAGGCGCCAGTGCTGATTCTCCAGCGTCAGCGCGCCCTCTAGAGCTCGGATGTGCTCACGGCACGGCCACGTTACAACAGCATTATTAGTCAAATTCAAGTTCGCTTTCCATTAGAATTCATTCAGAAATCCCAAAGACTATTTACCTCGTCAAAAATAACAGTACAAAAGTTTAGTCTTAATATAGGCCGTCTAAATTTATACAGGTTAAATCAGCACAGGTGTGGCAATTCTTCAGGATCACACCCTCTTTACAAAGACTCGTGGAGCTTTATTGTCAACAACACAATGAAATATCAATGTGATATATCTAAACCTTTCATCTCCAGCGAACCTGACCAAACAACAGTATTTTTGCTGGTTCAATCAGGCATTGAGCTCCATGTGAGAGATATTATAAAAACGCGTGTGTGTGAATGGGAAACTCCATAGGAGGATATTAGGATAAAGAAATAGCTATAAATCTTGCAGTTTCACAATACACTGGTAATTTTGTCAAACTCAAAAGAAATGTTAGAAATGACTTTTGACATGAGGTCATGTGATGACAACTGATATGTTTGAATGGTTTTGATTACTCATAGGCAGAATTCAGTGAATTCTACACTAGGACTCTGCCAGTAACCTTGCTGTGTGTGAGCAGATCTGAGAATTAGCCGTTTCCCGTTTTCCACCCATAACAAAGGAACACAGAACATTCAGTTCCAGCAAACATTTCCCACTGTGAGCTCAATCTTTCGCTTCTCAATACCTCAAATATTTTTCTCTCCGTATCCGAGGCAGGCAGAGAGAGAGAGAGAGAGAGAGAGAGAAATAAAAATGATTGTTTCTCAAGCATGTATTGACAAGTCTGTGCTCAAGCATGCTCAACACAGTGATGAGAACTATCTATGCAGTGTTATGATCAGCCCACACTTAAAAAACTCAGGAAATTTAGAGCTATTTAAGCATTTTTACCAACAAATGAAAGCAAAATATTCACACTGCTCTTTTCCTTACAATGGAAGTGAATACTGTCAAACACCATAAATAAGTTTATAGATACATTTAAATTGATATAATATGTAATATATATATATATATATATATGAAGAGTTCAGATGCAAAAGCCTCTAAATGCCATTTGAAATTTTCTTCTTTAATGATGATTTTTATCAAACTTGTATATTTAAGTTCAGTAATTTCACTTAAATAACAATTAATAGGTAATTATCATTGCCATTTAAGTGAAATTACTGAACTTAAATATACAAGTTTGATAAAAATCATCATTAAAGAAGAAAATTTCAAATGGCACTTAGAGGCTTTTGCATCTGAACTCTTCATATATATATATATATATATATATATATATATATATATGTATTATAAATATATATGTAAAAATAAATTATTCAAATATATCATATATTAAAATATGAATGCTCTTTTTACAATGACGGTGGATAGGCTGTCAAACTAATTGCCTTTTAAAAACAAATGTATTGGTGCATGGCTGCCTCAATCCCTTTAATTTTCATTTTATGGAAAACATTTAACAGAAAAACTCACATAATGGCTTGGGGGGGAAACTCGCATTTAAGGTTTGGAACAACATGAGGGTGAGCAAATGATGACAAATTGTCATTTTTAGTTGAAATGATGGCTGTGAAACGATTAATCGCGATTAATTGCATCCAAAATAAAAGTTTGTGTTAACATAATATATGTGTGTGTGTGGTGTCTATAAATATTTTGTATATATAAATACACACATATGCATGTATATATTTGAGAAAAATTTGTTATTAATATATCAAATATTTATATTTATGTATAATATTAATTTTGTATAAATATATTAGGGCTGTGAAATGATTAATCGCGATTAATCACATCCAAAATAAAAGTTTGTGTTTACATAATATATGTGTGTGTAGTGTGTATAATTATTTTGTATATATAAATACACACATATGCATGTATATATTTAAGAAAATGTATCATTAATATATCAAATATTTATATTTATGTATAATATAAAATTTTGTATAAAAATATAAAGTATATAAATGCAAATATTTCTTAAATATATATATATTATGTAAACACAAACTTTTATTTTGGATGTGATTAATCGCGAGTAATCGTATCTCATCCCTAGTTGAAATATCCCTTCAAATCAGGCACTTCTACACAGTTAGCTGTGAAATTCTAGTACACCGTCTAGAATGTATGTCTTTGTTTTTTTGCCGAGCTTTCTGAGTAAAGTGACTAAGTGTAGGCGGGTGGAGAGAGCATTGGTTAGCCATGCCGAGGACACACGTCTGTTTCGTGTTTTCAGATTTAGCCCCAGTTTCTCCCTCACTCGTTCTTATAGAGCTCTCATTGTTGCTGATGTTCAGAGCTGGATACTTCCGCTCGGACGAAGAACTTCTTTCGCACACACAAATCGCTCTATTCATCTTTCTCGACTGTGACCTCTAACCTCCCTTCTTCTGAAGTTCTCCAGTTCTCTGTGTTCGGAGATGTTTTATGGCCTACTGGATCTGACAGGTGTGAGTGTGTGTGTTGGGCATTACGGCTTTGACTGACATCAGCATGTTGTCGTGTGGTTTGTGATTCAGCTGTTCTACTTTTAGCAACTGCCTGTCGAGACTTCTGTCCACAAAAGCTCCACCACTTCTGATAGGTCAAACAGAAAACACAGGATGTGAGAGAAAGGCACACGTTCTAGTTCAAAACAGTCAAATATTAGAGTTTGCTCAGACAATTCGACTCCATCTGAACTGATAAATGCACAAAAATACGCGTCGTTTTAACTTGAGGACACAAAGTCTCAAGTTAAATGTTTTGCATCATGCATGTTTTGAAAGCACAGTGACTCTCTTTCCTTCGCTCTTGGCTGGGTCGGTTCTGTTGCAGCTGGACGTCACACGACACACAGGTTCTAGTATTTAAAAAAATACAAGAATAAACGGTGTAAATTACTCAAATAATCCAGAATTAGGAGTTAAATTCAATACTCAGAAAAAAAAACATTTCGATTTTTGCTTAAAGAGGCCATATTATGACCTTTATAAAGTCTTGATTTTGTTTTTTGGGTCTACTAGAATAGGTTTTCAGAGGTTTTTTTTCGGAGAGTCTAGTCCAAATACGGGACAATTTATTGTTACAATAAGACGGCATCCATTTAATAAATAATATAATAATTTACACTATGCTATTATTGTATACTGTTAACGTACAACAACACTGAAATGCAAATAGCACCCCCTAATCCTACCCATCTCCGCCCCTTGATCCCTAACCCCACCCCTAATCCTACCCATCTTTGCCCCCTGATCCCTAACCCCGCCCCTAATCCTACCCATCTCCGCCCCCTGATCCCTAACCCCCGCCCCTAATCCTACCCATCTCCGCCCCCTGATCCCTAACCCCACCCCTAATCCTAACCATCTCCACCCCCTGATCCCTAACCCCACCCCTAATCCCACCCATCTCCGCCCCTTGATCCCTAACCCCACCCATCTCCGCCCCTTGATCCCTAACCCCACCCCTAATCCTACCCATCTCCACCCCCTGATCCTTAACCCCACCCCTAATCCAACCCATCTCTGCCCCCTGATCCTTAACCCCACCCCTATCCAACCCATCTCCGCCCCTTGATCCCTTGATCACTATTTGAGGGGGCACCCAGTTGTAGCAGTGTCCGAAACCACAGTGGACATTATCGAGCGCACTCATTCAATCCCACAATAACGAGTGTACAACCGATGTACGCTAAACGGCTATAGAGAATACCCATAATGCACCGAGGGTCATGCTGAATGAATTCCCAGAAGATAGCGCTTGCAGCCAACCAGGTCTCAACCTTTTTATTAATTGTATGCATTGGGTGGGAATTATGTAAACAAGGAATATTGTGACATGTTCCTTTGCAAAAGAAAACTCAGGACTACAATAGAGGTGTTTCAGGGAGTTCACAATGACAATGATTTAGAGAATAACGCCCTTAAGAGGGACTTTATAACACTGCAGATCTGTTTCATGCTCAAACAAACAGCAACAATAGCTAGCTACGCTAAAGAAAGTTGAGATGAGTTGAGATGTTTCACACCGTCCAAAACCTTGCGTCATTAAACATGTTCTGTCATATTCCTGCTCCTTTAATTCCTTTAAGTGTTGACAGTAGAATTGTGCATATCTATTCTTAAGAATTGCATAGACTATTTCGTAATTTTTCCTTAGGCGTTAAAATCCGCTGAAGACACACCTTGGCACTTACCTGACGTGTTACCTTATATTATATTGCATTTAAAAGCATGCATCTATTGTGCTAATAATAATACTATGCTCGTAATTGTTTTTGTTGCTTCCTACTAAAAGTAGCCAGAGTTGGAAGGTCATCATTTCTGCATTGTTACAACAAGCAGCGTGGCTTGCAGAACATGACAACAACTTTGCCACAACATAAACGTGTCTGATAAATGTTTCTGACTTTTGTTACGTGTATTTACATGACTTAACTAAGTTTACAGTGAACCTTCTTACGTCTTACAGAATATTATGTCATGAATACAGCATAATCTGAAATACAAGGGACGTTGCAATAATTTATCATTCACAGTTAACAATGTTTCTGCAAAAACTATAGTCAATACAGGCTAGTCGAAAATGAAGGAAGATATTACATAAATAGTTTGATATCTAATTAATTCACTATAATTTTACATTAAAAAAACTGTAGTTTCCACCTGTGGTAAGTTTATGTAATGGATTGACTAATAAATTAAATTTTAGCCTTCAAAATTAATGATATACAAAATCACGTGCAAACCGTCAAACTCACGTTCGAGCTATACCCTATTTTAGTCTTACTGACTGAGGAACCACAAATCAGTAAGTTTCAGTGTGACTTACTTTGCGCAACTTTCCCGTCTCGTCCACTTCCCTCATGAGAGACGGAATGAAGACCTCGATGACTGGAGACACACACTGATGATCCAACATCCCAAACACACACAGATCACAGACTGAACTGAAGATCAGCTTCGTGACGTGCTTTGATCAATCCGCCGTGGATCTCCCCAGAGTCCAGAGCTCCTCCTCCAAACACACACACGCGCGCGCGCGCGCACAGCTGAGAGAAATAAAGCCATTCATACAAAGGATACGCTTTTTGTGGTTAAGAAAGAACGTAGCAGTGTTAAAGACCTAAATGTTTTAATTAATTGATTAATTCGCATTAAAGAAAAACACACTTACCAATCCAACTCGGAGTCCGTAACCAATGCCAGACGGCAAAAAAAATGTTTTACATAAACCGAGGGATTAAAAAAATATCAATGGCATAATGTTGTCATCTCTGGCTTATGCATTTTTTTGTCCAATCAAATGCTCTCTAAAATGAGATTGTCCTGCCCTCTAATAATGCCAGCGAATCACTAGTCAACACTGTGATGTAAACTAATACCTATTCGCTATTAACAACTTAGTGTCTCACAGATTTTTCACGTGTGTTTTAAACATAGACTGTAAAAAATGGTTTTAGAGTTAAAGGTAGAGTAGGCAATTTCTGAGAGGCTAGCATTAGAAAGTGTCTCCAAAGCCACGCCTCCTCCGATACACACACATGAACGTGCACAGCGTCATAAAACAAGAGATGGTTAAATTACCTCATGTCTCAAAGCACATTGAGATCCGAAGTTATGATGTCACTTTGTAGAACAACTCGGAAGTTGGCGGCGCATAGGTTCCCTCGATTGAAAGCTGCATTTTCCCCAAAGACTTTTGGAAATTGCAAAAAATAAGATCTTTTAACAAAGAGTTGTGACCCTTACATGTTTTGTTTATAAAGATAATCTTTACAAGTGAATCCAAAATGTATACATTTTGCATTTTGAAGCCTGGATAACGTTTAAAAAAACAGAAGCAGACACAATAGAGTTTAAAAAACCACAAGCAGGTTAAAAACCGGTGTATTTTATGTCACAGATCAAAACGTGAAAATATTTAGAGGCTTTGTTCACCACAGACCTTATTAAAACCTAGACTTATAGGGGGCGAGGGAACCGGAAGTGCAAACTCACTTTCGCGTTTTGGCCTACAGAGTGACGTCATAACTTCGTTACTCTATATAAACAACTTACAGTAGAGCTCACTTGTACCACCGGACTGCAACAGGATCATTTTGGCATTGATAGTGTTGATATAGAAACACATAAATCAGCTCAGAGTAGAACACCAAGGGTTGCCATCTTACGGTTATGACATGTTGTGAACGCAGCATGCTCTTGTTTTGGTTCAGGAGGTGCTGGTTAAAGGTGGCTGATGTTTGTTTGTGGCACTCGGTGACTGTCTGTCTGATGCGTCCCATAGACAGTAAAAAAAAGATGCGTCCCAAATCGGTCTTTGTCAGGTGACGCCACACTCGTGAAACACGTAGTGTTTGTAACCCAGATAGCAAACTGACATTGAATCAACGTGGAAACATGACATCGAAACAACGTTGATCTGGCATTGTTTTGCTCATCGAATTAACGTTGAACCAACGTCAGACGCGTCATTCTTCAAAACTAATGGAAAATCAACTTGAAATCAGCGTTGTTTCAAAGTTAGGAAAGCAAACCAATTGCAAACCAATTACCAATTTTCATTTAGCTTTGAAGAATGCCGCATCTGACATTGGTTCAACGTTAATTCGATGAGCAAAACAATGCCAGATCAACGTTGTTTCGATGTCATGAGAGACGTCGTTTCCACGTTGATTCAATGTCAGTTTGCTGTCTGGGAAGGTATCGATGCGGGGGTATTCTGTTGTTGCAGAATTGTTTTTTTCATTCTTTTTTTCAAACTAAACCATCCTTAAAATGACGTCATTACCATCAATACAGCAAACCTATCTTTGCTCTTCCTAACTTAGGATTTATTTACATTCCTACCGAAGGATACAGTAACTTGGTGAAACGTCCGCGGGCTTTATTAAGAGATGTATAGTTTTTAAATTGTTCACTGGTAACGTTATATGCTCTTATACATAAACAAGGTAGTTGACAATGCCCAAGTATGAGGATGAGAAAGCAATGCGGGATCAGCACTCCAACTTACTGCAGTCAGCTGAGCTCATTCTGAATGGATGACAATTTCTCCAAAAAACGGTACCTGCCATATTTATTGCATTTTCTCAGTTTTCTTCTGCAGTTTTGCGAGTTATTTACTTGTTATCTCTACTCCCATAATCTCTTAAATGCTCACAGTCAGTAGCGATACCTCAAAAATGGCGCCGCGGTGACGTCACACACAACAAACCCACGTGTCTGACAAAGACCGATTCAGAGACTGAATTAATTGGAATGTAATGATTGAACATTTTTTGGTCATGAGACTTCCACAAAAGATATGTACATGTTTTATCGAATAAAAAAATGTGTTTATGAAAAAACTGCCTTCCCTACATTTGAACATTGTTTCTCTGGAGATTATACAATTATCAGTGGCGCCTCCAGAAATTTTTCGTAGGGGTGGCCAGATGGGGCCAGTTAAAATCTTGGGGTGGCACACCAAAACTACAGTATAAACCATAATTTCAGAATTGTTTTCTACTGTTGTAATAAACCAGCCTGTAGAAAACTATCAGAAAGACTTAAGGAAACTCCTACTGATATACTTTGGTTTATTGTGTAATATTTAATGTTACTAATGATATTAGTAGGGCCCAACTAATATATATTACATTGTATATAATGATATATATTATATGATATATAAGGGTCCTTGCCCCACAGCAAATTTCCAGATACTTACATAATTGTGATGAATTTAATCATTTTTAAGTTATTAGTTTGCAGTGTAAGATTACAGTTAACACCTTTAAATATTACATAAATGTATTATGAATTTTTAATAAACTTAATGAGTGTATACATCAGCAGCAAAAAGTAATTCTTGAAAAAATCTGCACAGTAATTTTATAAAATCTAAATATGTTAATAAAAACAAATTACTATTAGTTGTCTTTTAAAATTCAATCAGGCAATCATGTCACAATTTTATATTTATATATTAATGTCAAGAATTCAGAAGTGCATAGCCTAAACTACAAATAAATTATATACAATTAAATTATGCTTATTTAAAATGTATTGAGCAGGCTAGGTATAACAAAATATATTGGCTTTTAATAATATTTCAGTGCGCAAACCATGATTGAGCCCGTTCTTGCATGATTACATGAAAAACATCGCGGGTGCAGAATGATGTGCTCAAAGCAACATGGAGTCACAGTGTGCAGCAGCACTGCGCTTCATAAGTGTGCATTTAAAAGCTCGTGTCACAAATCGAAAAATGAGCGCACAAATCCAAGTGCGATTTGTTCCTTTGTTTCACAGTTATTGTGCGTTTGATGCCGATTCATAATCCTTGTGATATGTATGTGTGATCTAACAGAACACGGTAGTGAGTCGCTTAAAAACAGCAACAAACTCCAAGAAAATAAAGTAATTTTATGCGAATATACAGACTATTATCTACAGATCATGCATTTATAATGTGAATATATCATATTGGAGAGAGTTTTACCGTGCATCCAAGAGGCGCGCGTGCTGTTTGAATATGAATGGAGAATGATGACAGCCGCAGAGGAGGGAAAACGAGTTTATACTTTAATGATGTAAATATAGTTCTGTCCCTCACATTAAGCTATGGAATGACTTCAGATGACTTTGTCACCCAAACTGACGTGAAAAAAGCGGGAGGCGCCGAAAAGCGCGCTGTTTGCATCCCTGCCTGTCCAAACGTGGCAAAAACACACCTAAAAGCTGCTGTATACCATTTGGCACTTAAAAAGCACGTCACGACACATAATTCCCCGTCTTCTTTCACTTAAGAATATTTTTGACTTATTTATAAAATGCATAACTGATGCTACAAAAATTAATACTGGCCATTGGGGTGGCCAATGGGGTGGCCAGGAGTCGGCCAGGGGTGGCCATGGCCACCCCTGGCCACCCCCTGGTGGCGCCATTGACAATTATAAAGACTTCAGAAATATGTTCTGTGAAAATCTAGAGAGTTATTTTAGGATTTTTCTGTAAGTTTCTTTTGGATTTTAACTTAAATATATCTGTGTGTGTCGTCGGATCACAAGTTCTGTCATGCGATTTCTCATGTAAACACTTATTCTTAATAAACTCCGAGTCCGTAGACTTCGGAGAAGTTGCATAAAAGGACAGTTGTGTATCTATTCAAACCAGAGTTCAAATGCAAACTTGTCTACATTTATTTGTGCATTAAATTACGTCTACGCGTGATATTGAGCGAGCATCAATAAAAGTCTATTTTTGTAATGGTCAGCAGTGTGTCAGCAACAACGTCCTCATTTCTTCTGTCTGAATGGAGAATAAATGAGAATCACATGATTTCCCGGGACACACAACCATTCATGCATTGACTGCTGACTAAACACACTCCAGTCTGAAGATAACACACATTCCTGATGCTCAAGTGTTATTATCCCTGCTTTCCCACTTTATCCCATCAGGTTACTCAAGCTCAGTTTAAATCCGAACAGAACAACTGATCATGAACCCCTGGACCATTTATGACCTTCAAATTGCTGGAAAATAAACAGGTTGAAAAGTTTAATGATTAATGAATTTAAAGGATTTTGGTGAAAGGTTAATTCCGCTGCAGCTGCAATAATTTTACCGCAGTGTTATCACATGAAAATGTCTCATCGAAGCTGGAGAGAAACAAGCACTGACGATAAGAGTATTGAATGAGAGCTTCTGCTCAACACAGAACAAATAGTGAAAGACGGAAGTCCTGGAAGGATCACTTCCTAGCTAAAAACTGAAAAGAAAATGAAAAAAGAACATAAAATTACCAAAGCTTAAACTAAAATTAAATCTGAAAACAAAAACTAATTGAAATATTAAAATAATATAAAGTAACAACCAGTTAATTAAATTAAAAATTAAATAAAGCTGACATAAAACATAAGATACAAATATTTTTTATTTAATATTCTAAAACAGAAAATAAATGTTTAAATAACTAAAAAAATGGAAAAAATAGATTGAAAAATGATTTTATAAAAATATTACTAAACAAAATAAATGAAATAATAGCCTACTGCTCATGACGTACGTGTATACAATAAATAATTTTTATAAAAAATTAAGTATTTAAAAGACTAAAACTAAAAAATAAGAACTAATTCACACATTGATAAATAGTATAATAATAGAATATAAATAATACTAAGATAACACTAGTTAAACAATTGTATATAAATATATATATATATGTGTGTGTATATGTATGTATATAAAAGTGCAGTCAAATCGATCACATCTAACAAAAAATTGAAAATGTATGTATGTATACACATGTAAATGTACTTTTTTGTAACATAATGAATCAATTTAACAGCACTTATATATTGCATATATCGACACACACAGAAACATATATATGAGCACACACACACACGACAAAACATGACAAAAAACGACAACTAAATCAAAAGCTTTATATTTGTAATTAAATCTTTATTGTTTTCCTCAATAGAAGTGTCCACAGTGAAAAAAATACCTGCCCCTTTTTTTCTTATAAACAAACAGTTGATTTGTATGGCACCCAATGGTGAAGTCCAACTGCGTCTCTTCAAAGTGTTATTACAGAAGGGCCCAAAATATCATTTATGAAGCAAACTAATAAACAAACAACAAAAAAAGTCTAATGTTATAAATGACGATGAATAACAGCCTTACAAACTCTGACAGCAGCAAAATCTGTATAAAAAAAATCTCATGTAGAAACAATTTAATCATTAGTAGTAGCGTAGCAAAAGTCGATTAATTATTTTAACATGTCAAAGTCAAATATGGTTTGACACGAAACGATAACATGTTGGCATAAATGTCTACACATGAAAATGTAAGATGAAGTAAATAAAGAGAAAAAAAAGAATGAGAAATGAGAAAAACAGGCCCTAAATGAAGAAGAAAACCAGTTTTAAGACTGAAGTGCTTTGGGATTCTGGTTTGACCAGCTGAAAGAGCTCCGGTATTGATATACAACGCTTTAGGAGCGTCTTTATTAATGCTTTACGTCAATTGAACAAATAGAAACAAGATCCTAAATCTATTGAAGATTTACAATGATCGTTTGAGTGAAAACTAGGAGCCAGCAAAAGAAAAATCACTGATTGAGTGTAAGTGTTGACATGTACTGTACAGTTCCTATCATTTCCACCGGGCCAGTTCACAATCCCATTACAATCTCTTTTACTTGCTAAACACAATGTCATTATGGTGTTTTAAAGTGTATATACCAATATCCTGGACTTCTGAAATGATCTAGGTCGCCATTTGTCTCTGAAATCCCAGAAGTACAAACATCTTTTGACAGGTGTCGCGTGGCCTGATGGGAAGTTTCTCACTGTGAATGAGAGGAGAGCGCCCTCTAGTGTAAACCACTGACATCACTGCTGATGATGAGTAACGCGTCTGAGTGGAGAATGAACATGAAGTTTGGTTGCATACAGACGAGGAAGACACCCAGCCACCACCACATGCGTTTACATCCCCCAAAACAATAATCAACGTAAGAAAATAAAGGTGAAGATTACACAGAAAATATACAAGTTACTAATTCGATGAGAGTAACGAGCGGCCGGATAGATGATTCCCTTTGCAGCACGGTTTCTCTTGGTTTATAGGCAAGAGGTAAAGAGTGTAGAAAGGCCTCAGTCACGGGTGAGTGTGTGTGTTTGCGCGCGGACGCCTCCTCATGCGATCGCTTTCGCCTCCGGCAAAAACGCCTCCCAGTATTTTATCAGCTAGAGGAGAGAAAGAGAGCCAAATGTCAATTACAGGTATTCAGACAGATTAGTTTCCGAAACAAAGAAAGTGTTCTTGTACCTGTTGTTCTGAGTGGAGAAGTGACTCCAGATATTTGACGATTTGTCTCTTAAAATCTCGAGCTTTTTCTTTCTGTTAGCAGAGAAATTTAAATGAATTGTCAGTCAGAATCATTAAATACCATTCAACAATTAATTGAAGCGAGACCAACTGTATACCAAATGTTTATTAGCAGTACTGTTGCCCTATTTTATTTTGCGAATCTCCAACAACAGATTTACATGCATCCACAGTCAATAAACACTGTAATTTTCTCATAATATTTATTGTAGCATCAGCTCTCTTCTCTCAGTGTCTGAAACACTTTAACAAAGCATTCAGTCTCTCTAAACCCATCCTTTCTGAGAGTCTACTCATCTCTGATTGGTCAGATGGCCCAGTCTGTTGTGATTGGTCTACTCTGCTCTGATTGGTCAGATGGCCCAGTCTGTTGTGATTGGTCTACTCTGCTCTGATTGGTCAGATGGCCCAGTCTGTTGTGATTGGTCCAATCTACTCTGATTGGTCAGATGGCCCAGTCTGTTGTGATTGGTCTACTCATCTCTGATTGGTCAGATGGCCCAGTCTGTTGTGATTGGTCTACTCTACTCTGATTGGTCAGATGGCCCAGTCTGTTGTGATTGGTCTACTCTGCTCTGATTGGTCAGATGGCCCAGTCTGTTGTGATTGGTCTACTCTGCTCTGATTGGTCAGATGGCCCAGTCTGTTGTGATTGGTCCAATCTACTCTGATTGGTCAGATGGCCCAGTCTGTTGTGATTGGTCTACTCATCTCTGATTGGTCAGATGGCCCAGTCTGTTGTGATTGGTCTACTCTGCTCTGATTGGTCAGATGGCCCAGTCTGTTGTGATTGGTCTACTCTGCTCTGATTGGTCAGATGGCCCAGTCTGTTGTGATTGGTCTACTCTGCTCTGATTGGTCAGATGGCCCAGTCTGTTGTGATTGGTCTACTCTACTCTGATTGGTCAGATGGCCCAGTCTGTTGTGATTGGTCTACTCTGCTCTGATTGGTCAGATGGCCCAGTCTGTTGAGATTGGTCTACTCTGCTCTGGTTGGTCAGATGGCCCAGTCTGTTGTGATTGGTCTACTCTGCTCTGATTGGTCAGATGGCCCAGTCTGTTGTGATTGGTCTACTCTGCTGTGATTGGTCAGATGGCCCAGTCTGTTGTGATTGGTCTACTCTACTCTGATTGGTCAGATGGCCCAGTCTGTTGTGATTGGTCTACTCTGCTGTGATTGGTCAGATGGCCCAGTCTGTTGTGATTGGTCTACTCTGCTCTGATTGGTCAGATGGCCCAGTCTGTTGTGATTGGTCTACTCAGCTCTGATTGGTCAGATGGCCCAGTCTGTTGTGATTGGTCTACTCTACTCTGATTGGTCAGATGGCCCAGTCTGTTGTGATTGGTCTACTCTGCTCTGATTGGTCAGATGGCCCAGTCTGTTCAGATTGGTCTACTCTACTCTGATTGGTCAGATGGCCCAGTCTGTTGTGATTGGTCTACTCTGCTCTGATTGGTCAGATGGCCCAGTCTGTTGTGATTGGTCTACTTTGCTCTGATTGGTCAGATGACCCAGTCCGTTCAGATTGGTCTACTCTGCTCTCCTATGATTGGTCAGATGACCCAGTCTGTTGAGATTGGTCTACTCTGCTCTGCTATGATTGGTCAATGACCCAGTCTGTTGTGATTGGGTCATCTGACCAATCATAGCAGAGTAAGCCAGTGTGTTGTGATTGAACTTCAGCTCTGGATCTTCCTCAACACTTGACACACAATGATACTAACAGTAACGATGGCTTGGGTTTTGTAGTATCGACTCGAGCTCGAACAGCAGTGGTTTTGCTTTAGCAGCACAGAAAACAGCGCCGTCATGAACCAAACTCTTCCAGACTTTACTACAACTAAAGCATTTGCGCGTCAAAGTAGACTTCGTTTGGGGGCAGCCATAGAAGACCATAAACAGGCATTATGCAAAAATGTTTGTGCAGTACAGAATCTATTTTCTCTTTTAGATCACAATGGGCTCTATGCACGGCGGTATTTCCGGTGAGGCATTAGGGATGCTCGATAACTAACGATCGTCCAATGCAATACCGAGAATTTATATTGAATTTTATACTCCATGGTTATACTAAAGAAACGTTAGTCACAAAAACAGATAAAACAGACACCCCTCGTTGTGTTTATGCTTCTTTTTAAAATTATATGAAATAAAAATAACATCTAAACGTATGTACGTTTCATTTCAAAGACTGGAGGACAGTAAATTTTGAAGACTCTGCCATAATCCCATTTTCCTCGGTTTTCCTCCGCTTTAATCTCCACAACCGGAAATGTACGATCCTTGCGTCAAATGCGGAATTTATGCGTGCATATAGCCCATCGCTCAATTTATTGAGCACTTCATTATATTCACAAAGTGCTCTTTTACACACTATATTCAAGGCAATATCCAAAAAAGCATAACAGGGGCCCTTTAATGGCAAGATATCCAAAGCCAAGAGGGAAATCACCGTCTTACATCAAAACGAATGACGTCTTTCTGTACGGTGGCTGAGATTCTCTCGAATTCTCTCTCGAACTGCGTGACCTTTGCCTCCCACTGCAGGACGACAGTAGAGTAAGACATGATTTAGAAGGTTACAGATGTATAACATCAAACATGCCCCAAACAAGCAGCAGTGTGTGTGTGTGTGTTGTGCTTCACCTCAGAGATCTCGTCCTTGGCCTGCTGGAGTTTGTCAGGTTTGTTGGCCCACAGGAGTTTGGCCTCGGCCTCTCTTTTTTTCTGCAGCATGTTCTCAGCGTCCTGCCAGCGCTGCCACGCTTTCATTCTCTGATCAAAACACCCCTGGCAATGTAGAATACAAATAAATGACAATTCTAGTTAAATTATATTTTAGATTTAGATTTTTATTTACATTTTTAGCATAACGATACATACACTATGTAAACTACCAGTCAAATCATCAAATCATCATATTAGAGTGATTTCTGAAGGATCATGTAATCATGTGAAGACTGGAGTAATGATGCTGAAAATACAGCTTTGATCACAGGAATAAATCACATTTTAAAATATAAATTTTACAATATTTCCATTTTTACTGTGTTTGTGATCAAATAAATGCAGCCTTGGTGAGTAAAAGAGACTTTTCAATAAAATGTATATATATATATATTGGGACTGTCAAACGATTAATCGCGATTAATCGCATACAAAATAAAAGTTTGTGTTTACATAAAATAATTATACACTGTGCACCTACATATATTATCTATATAAATGCACACACATCCTTGTATATATTTAAGAAATATTTTCAAGTATATACTGTATATAGATTTATATATAATTTATATGACATGTAAATATAAATATTTTATATATAAATGATATTTTTTTCTTAAATATACATGCATGTGTGTATTTATATATATACAAAATAATTATACACAGAGCACCCATTGGATGCGATTAATCGCGATTAATAGTTTGACAGCCCTAAAAAAAATTATATATATATATATATATTTGATAATAATTCAAATGAAAGCAAGAATTATGTAGATACATACAGATATGCTTTATGATGTTTAAAAATATATATATCAATAATTGTAATAATGAATTCTGATACAATAATGATCCTGATACATATCTGAATGTATTTACATAATTGTTATTTATTATTAGTATAACAATAATTGAGATACAACATTAACAGTGAATTATTATTAATAATAATGATAAGTTATATACAGATATCACAACTCTAAAAATGTAAAAGTTTTATTTCTTTTTTCCCCCAAATATATCTATAATACTAATATTAATATAACAAATGAATAATACATTTGTTATTATTATTTACAGCAACAAATGATAATATATTGGATAATATGGTAGAAACAAAATATAATTAAAAAAAAATATTGTATATGATAATACTTTTTTTTGACAATCCAGTGAATTAAATAGGTTTACAAATGAAGGGTATAATTTTCTCTTTGCATGTGGAACGCCAACTGAAATATAAGATTACTTATAACAAATCAATCCGTGCCAGTTTAACATTATATGATACCTTAATATTAAAAAATAACAGAGTTAAATCATAATACACACGATTGTTCTTCTGTTTCTGTGTGTGTCTGTACCCTGACGGCTCCCAGCAGTCGTATATAATCGGCCAGCAGCTCCGAGAAGGTGAAGAAGTCGTTGGCCGCCTGGTCCTGATGGAGCTGCTCGATTCGATCCTCCACCTCGGCCAGCTGAGACAGAGCTCGCGACAGAGCCGTGTTATCCTCCGAGCTGCCCAACATCGCCACGCTCTTCGCAAACACGGCCGTGTTCCCAGACAACTCTGAAACACACATCCCGCCCGTGAACAACTAGTTGCTTTACAGCAGTCATCCAGTCAGATTCGGTTTCACTTAATATGTCACATTACAGAAATAAAATGGGTTGCAATTCCCAAATTTGAATGCATTACATAAACAAAAGACCTTCTGACCTTTCCTGTGATTGACAAGCGATTCCACCATGACGTGAAGTTTCCGCAACTGCTGTTCTTCATTTTCTACATCCTGGATCTTCTCATCAAACCACTGAAACCAACAAGCACACACACTGTTTAATATTCAGTCTCCTCTCTAGGTTGGATCCTCTTTATCGTAATATAATATAACCGTTATTCCACTCACCACGTCCTGTTCGTTCATCTTTATGGTCATCTTACTCACAGCGTCTGTGGCTTTGTTGAGCATTTTGAGGAAGCCGGCTCCACTCAGAGCCTGTGTGCCGACTGCTCTGGGTAACTAACACACACAATGGATGGGTAAACACATCTGCATGCGAGACGTCACTTCTCTTAGGTTTATGTTAATATGGAGTTTGCGGTCGCATGCTAGAATAATTTTATGCAAGTAGCCGTCTCACCTCTTCTTTCTCTAAAAACTCTCTGACATCAGGGTCCTGCAGGAGAGACGGGTGACTAACAATCCTCTGAAGATACCTGCGACCACACACAAACAATCCTCAATATTAATTACTACTAACATTAAATTTATTAAAATAAATTAAAATAATCAACATTAGATTGAATAATATCATAAAGTGAGATATAATAAAATGTAATGTTTTTATTCATTTATATATATATATATATATATATATATATATATATATATTAAATACACACATTTTCACTAAAACACATTTTGATGAAGATGGAAAAATGACTTAGATTGGATCATATAATATACACAACATAATATATATTGGTAATTAATATTTATTTACAATACTTAGATTTCTTGGATTAGAGGTGTAATTTTTCAGTCCTCATAAAATATTGAATAATTAATTATTTAATTGTATTTATTATTTAATAAAGTATGATTTTATTCATATGAATTACTACTAACATTCTACTATATTTTATCAAATCGAAATAATTTTTCTGTCCTCATTAAAATGAAAATACATACAGTATAATGACAGTAGTGATAAATATTAATATTATATTATCCAATTTAAGACATTTTCTATCCCCAAATATCATTTTAATTCTGGTGAACACACACACACATATATATATATATATATAAATGAGAACACAAAAATTACTTAACCTGGATAGTATAGTAATAGTTATATAATATATATAAAATTTATATATATATCAATTTAATATATTGGATAGTACCTGGATAGTATAGTAATAGTTATATAATATATAAAATATATTACATTTATATATATATATATATATATATATATATACATTTTATATATTATATAACTATTACAATACTAGCCAGGTTAAGTAATTTTTTGTGTTCTCATTAATATATATATATATATATATATATATATAAAATAAATATAATGACAGTAGTAATTAATATCAATCTAAGTCATTTTTCTGTCCTCGTTAAATTGAAAATACTGTACGGTAGCAGCATCACAGCCAATCATAGTTTGACGTTTTATACACAGATATATAAGAGGGATTTTAAACCAATGAGATTTCACTGGGGACGGGGCTTCTTAGTGCAATGTAACAAAAAGTTCGGACATGACACATTGATGATAATTGTGACTTGTCAGGACAAAAACTATGAGAAGAAGAGTGATGCATCACATTACTAGTGCAACTAGTTAAGAAACATTGTCATCTTCAGTAACGAACCTCTCTAGAGCAGCTCTCCTCCGCTCCACGAACTCTGCTGACGACGGATCCTCCTTCCCGACTTTGACTTTTGTCATACCTGGAAAATTCACGCACAGTTATTCATAATCAGGCGCTTGTTCATAATCAGATCAGATCGGATGCATTAGCAGAAGCAAGTTTCTACCCAGAATGCTCTTCTCTGGTGGTGGAGGTATGATGTATCCATTCTGTGCGTGTTTCTCCGAGAGCTTTTCGTACAATCCCAGGAAATCACTGAAACGTCTGCGTACAGTTAGCGTCTTGCTACGGAACATGGTTAATGACGTCTGAGAGGATGAAAAGAGGGAGGTTTAGACAGTGTGTCGTATTGTGCGGCCGTGTAATCTGCACAAAAAAAGTAAAAAATAAAAATAAAAATCACCTGTGTTGAAACTTTGTAGGCCATATAAGCATTCATACCATCACCTGTAAGAAACAGAGAGAGAATCACCTCACATGCCCAAAATAAAACCCCAGCTAAACATATATATGTGCGGTTAACCTCAAGCTCAAAGATCAGGACTGGTTACACAAAGGTCACAGGTTTAGAGTCAATGATCCCAGCTGAAAAACAGCTTGACTAGACTAAACTGGTCTCCCAGACTGGTCCGGTTTGCTGGTTTTAGAAGGGTTGTCAGCTTCAGCAATCTAAACCAGTTTAAATATCAAACTGATATTAAAAACCAGCAAACTAAAAATATTTTTACCATCGAAACTTTCAAGATTGACATATTTGAATGAAATGTGCTCAAAGCTGTAAAGGAGAGGATATGCTAATGTCTTTGTCAAATTTCTGACCAACCTATGTAAATTGAATGAATTATGCATTTATATAGCGCTTTCATATGTACTACCTAGTTATGCTGCTGGATCACAAATAACTAGATCATCTTTATAAATTCTCATTCAATGAAATTAAGAGCACATGACAACAAGAGACAACTGACAAAATATTAATAGCTGATTATGATGTAGTCAATGTACAATGTAAAAATGAATATGCTTAATCTAATCAAAAAAATTGTGGCAACAGATTACAAGCCATATTATTAATTAAATTTAGAATTGAAGTACAAACAATTTAGAAACAATTTACAAACAAATTAGAATTGAGTAATAATTAATCAAATTAATTCCTTAAAAGTTAACCATTTAAAATGAGTAAAACTTACAAAAACCAAAAAAACATATTTAAGTCACCATTATGGTGATCGGTGTTTGTTTTAGGTTTGTTTTAAAATGACGGTTTTCTCTTTTAGTGATTCAGCTTGTTAACATCAGGTATCCTTAATGTTGGCAATATAAAATAAAGAGTGAGAGATATTTTTGTTGTGTACTCGTTTTAAATGGTTAACTTTTAAGGAATAATTTGATTAATTATTATTACTCAATTCTAATTTGTTCAATTTAATTAATAATATTGCTTGTAATCTGTTGCCACAATTCTATTGATTCGATAAAGCATATTTATTTTTAAAGTGTATGCGTTTAGTTTTTCTATGCATTTTGCATATTTTTGGAATAATAAAATAAACCTTTAGCTGTAGTTTGCCTCTTTTTTTGCCAAATCATTTTGTCAGATAAATAACTTAACCGAGAGATTTTCCCCTCCCTAATATTTAAAAATATTGGTTTAATCTAAATTGTAGGGTCACTGAAAACAAAAATCCCCTCTGGACATCACTTTTGGCCACTATATACAAAGTAAGAGTGAGCAAACCATCAGCTAAATATGATCAGATGAAATATGATCTCCCAGAGCTGATTTTTGCCCTTACAGTAAACAACACACCTTTAAAAAAAGAAGAAGGACAGGAAATGAAAAAAAAAACCTGGTAAAGGGCAAAAAAGGAAGTTGTGATCGTATGGCAGACGTATCTGTGACTCAGTTCCTTAATTAGAACAATTTCACCTCCTGCAAACTCAGCACACTACTTTCTCAAACTCATGTTTTATGAGATCAGCGTTAATCCTCAAAAGCCTGAAATGAGACATCAGAAAGCTAACATAGTGGAAGATGACGGTCTTACCAACTTTCTCTGGATTTGTGACGGAAATGTTTAGATCAAACTTGTCCTCACTTTCCTCTTCCTCCAGCTTTATGAGAAGAAAGAGAAAGGAAGAAGGAAACCTTTAAGGTTAGATCTGATCTCTAGTGATGGGAATCGCAAGAAATGCAACAAATCCAGTTTTGATTCTGATTCAACTTGATTAATTAAAGGGATAGTTCACTTAATTAGTTTGATTAGTTTAATGAATTTTTGATATGTTTTAGCTTACCCCAAGGGCATCCAAGATGTAGGTGTCTTTGTTTCCTCAGTATTTTCCATTTGATATTTTTAGGTCAAACCGTTCGTGTCTGTCAGTCATATAATGGAGGTCTATGGTCACCACCTCAAAGAGCATGCACAGAGAAGTCCAAATTAAACATGATTTAATGACTCGTAAATGTAAATACACATTGATGGCCTAAGACACGAAACAAGCGGTTTGTTTGAGAAAACGAACAGTATTTATATCATTTTGTCACCTCATGTTACCTCACAGCCACGTCCAAGTGATCTGAGGGCGTGGACGCTTTGGTTTGTGCAAGTGATATCTTGCACGAGTACGTCACTCATTGTTTACACAGAGATTTCGGAAGCGTTACCTTTCACCGTGAAGAGCTACACATATTTAGATATACAGGAAATCGCTTTCAATATATCAACAGACAACGTTGAATTTTTTCCACAACCGCGCGAGAGATCACTTCCGGCGCTTTCCAGCGCTTGCGCAGACCAAAGCGCCCGCGCCCTCAGATCACTTGGATGTGTTTACAAGAGGTAAAAATGATATAAATACTGCTCGTTTTCTCACACAAACCGCTCGTTTCATGTCTTAGGCCATCAATGTGTACTTACATTTACGAGTCATTAAATCATGTTTAATTTGGACTTCTCTGTGCATGCTCTTTGAGGTGGTGACCATAGACCTCCATTATATGACTGACAGACAAGAACGGTTTGACCTAAAAATATCAAAATTGAAACTACTGCGGAAACAAAGACACCTACATCTTGGAGGTAAGCTAAAACATACCAAAAATTAATTTCAAAGTGAACTATCCCTTTAAGAAGCTTTGAGTAATTTAATTTTCAAATGAAACACATAAATAAAAAGTTTAAGACTGATTCTTGACTAATTCATCAAAAAGAATCAGCTCACAGGAGTCATTTGCTTGTGAATCAGGCACTAAAGGAGCCAAACATCATGAAAAACGTTCAGTGTCATTTATTTTAAAAAAATGTTCACTTTCCAACCATCTTTAGAAGTGTTTTACCTCCTCCAGGGCTTTGGACGGAGGTTTGCTGGAGCTGCTGGCTACCGGGGCGGCAGGAGCCGATACTGGCGCTTTCACGGTATCTTTCTTCTTGCGGTCATTAAGAGGACTGTCCAGAGACAACTCCACTGTAGCTTCTGGGGAAAACAGTGAGAGAAAGTGCATTTTACGGATTCAATGAAACTAAAAAGATACAACAAACACACACACACATGCAGAACACATTGCATCAGCAACATAAAGAAGGGTGAGAGGTCAAAGGTCACTGAGGAATTCCTTTTCCTCTTCCCGAGTCAATGCTGAGAAAGCGAATTCATCATTCATCACCCAGAGAAGTGATGTGCATGCATTTCTGCTTGTACAATACATGCGAGTAAAGAAAAAAAACAACAGGAAAACGTTTAATTGCGCAAAAAACTAAGCCTGGAAAACCCTACAGCACTTCTAATCAGTGTTATTTAAGTGTTATTTATATACTATTATTCAAAGAGCTTTTATTTTCAGTTTTAATTTTAATTGTAGTTTGAGTTTTATTATTTTACTTGAGCATCAACGATTTAGGAACTCGCTTGAGGCCTATCATAGCCAAAAGGTCGAACACAAGTCGAACTTTTAAAAGCATCATTGACCCCAAACCATTGTCTAAGTAGGCCACTCACAAGGTTTCCAAAAAAATGACCAAAACATTCAAAGATGCTTTTCACATGTGGGAGGGCAGCTACATTTTGAAACACAAATGAAACTTGCTTTAACATGCCCCAAAATGCTCTCAAGGTTTAAAGGCTCAAAAATGTTGTCTAGATAGGCAGCTCACTAGCTTTTGAAGATTAGAACACTAAATTTGTGTTAAAAGACGTCAAAAAAACGCTGTTATGCTTGTTTGAACTCTTTTAACTGAAAGCAACTTGGACTGAAATATCTCAAAATATGTCAGAGTGCCATTGTTTTGTCTCTTGATGTCTCTAGACGCACACTAGTAAGGCACACTTATAAAAGCATCTTAGCTAATTGAACTAAGGTCTAATCCTTGCTTGAAACCAGGCCTTAGTTTTGAAAGATGAACTTTTACATTTGTCCATGATGCCCGAAAAAGCTCTCTGGCCTCTCTGTAAATAATATACTGTCTATGAGTATTAAACCTTTGCAGAAAAAAAAGCACAAAAATACAAAATAAAAATAAAAAATTGAGAAATTGAAATTGCGCCGAGGAAGGAGAGTTCGACTTCCTTATCAAGGATGGAGTCGCGAATTTATCCTGAGATTTTCATCATTTACTTCAGAATGTCAGTGGGACAGTTTGATGCTTCGCTAGCGATTCTGGAGCCACATATTAAAAAGAAGACACCCAAATTTCCGCGCACGCACGAGAGACAGAACAGCTGTATAGGCTACAGGTTATATATTGAACCCAAATAATGCATTAGTTATCAAATTGGCTGCTCAATCACACCTTAATCGATCCGAAATTTCGGGGAGGTTTCCCTTTTCTAATCCGATCGAGAGAACATAAACACTTGATCGAATTGAAAACCGAAACTGAAAGCATGTGGAATGAAGTGCAGAACAAGCTCCCCCGGCCCCGAATTGTCAAAAAAAAACTCTCAAAATGGTGGCTGTGGATGCGAAAAACGCAGAAAATCGAACCCGTTCCGAATAATTTTATGACGGACGAAAGTTTCGGAGGCGTAATTGACATAACGGATGCGAATTTCGGACTTTAAAGTGACCAAAAAGACATTTAACTCCAGCTCACCAACGGTGTCGCCAATTCCCTTTGTCTCCAGAATGCGCGTACGCACGGCTCAAAGTTCTCCCGTCAAGTTTGTTTTTTATAGATCTCAACCTTTGCGTGTAAACTGTCGTACGTACGTTTCCAGCCCCGTTTTGTGCGTGTGCACGCTTTATAAATGAGACCCCTGGTGTTACCGGTGCAATGTCGTACCTGAGAAGATATCCTGCTCCTCAGAGTGAACCCCATTGGTCCTGGAGCTGCCGCTTGAGGAAGGTTTGGTGGCAGGTGCCGTCACGGCTTCCTCTGCGAACAGATCCGTGGGGTCGTTTTTAACATGTGGCTTGACCTTCACCTCTGTAAAGACATTGATAGGTGGCCCACTCGCCACTGAAGGCTGAGGGGGCTTCGTCATGGCTTTTAATGGCTCTTTAAACAGATCTTCCTCCTCCTCCTCATCATCATCATCATCGTCATCCTCATCACCGAACAGCTCAGCGCTCATTGCTTTCTTGGCGGCAGAGGCTTTGCTGCCGCCCTTCGGAGGGTCTTCGAAAATATCCTGATGTCGGGCTCCAATGGCGTTTTTGTGCTCAGGCGTGCTGCTGATGTCAACAGGTGCTTTACCGATGACATCAGACTTTGGCGTTTCTACAGGCGCTTTCAAGAGATCTGGCACGGGATTTTGGACTTCAGGCGAACTAATTACATCGGCTTCATCGTCCAGCGGGTCGCTGAACAGGTCGACGGCCTCATCGCTGCCAGGAGATTGGATCTTTAGGTTCTTCTGGGGTTCAGAGTTGATGTCGCTAAGAGGATCGCTGAAGATATCTTCTGGTGGATCGTTGAAGATGTCTTTAGGAGGTGCGGTCGTGTCAGGCGACAGTGAATCCATCTCGGAGATTGACTAGGAACAGCACAGAAATGATAATTCAGCTAATGTTGTGAATTTAGTTACTATAAATAGAAATACTGTGAGTTTAATACATTGTGTTTAACAGCCTGTGGAATCATTTTCCATCTGGCATGGAACGGTTTTCCAAATACATTAAACATTTTAAGGCTGAAAATGCACAGGATCAAAACAAAAGTTGTGAAAATAAATGAGCAAAATCCACACACTGTTTAACCCTTTTCTTTATTTGCAAAATGTAACAGCGACTTTTTAGATTTGGGTCCAAATAAAGAAAAGAGTTAAACAATTTTTTTTTCATATCTCTGGTTAAAGTTCAACCCCAAATAATGGAAAAAGTCTATTTTTAGTATTATTTTTGCATTGAAAATTTAAGCATATTTTGTTAAGCATACGTTCTTGTAACAGTAATTAGGCACCACATTTTTATTATATAATATTTATTAGTTTATGTATTTGTGCATTTTGGATGCATTTTGGTGCATTTTAATTAAATAAATAAAGCAAACCTTTTTGGGCATAGCACATTTTCCATCAGTGCTTTTATACTTTTTTTTATTTTATTTTATACTTTGTTTTTTAAAAGCAGAGTATGTGATTTGCTTCAAAAACATGTTTTGCTATGCTGGTTGAAAGTCTCTTCACATCCTGATAGGAATCACGAAGATATTGATACTTATTGTAATAGTACTTACATAATTAAAATGTAAAATATTTATGTTATTACAGGTATTTGTCATTATTATTTTTTTATGCTTGTACAACTGACATTACAATAAATAAATAAATAATTTAGTATTTTAGTACTATCTTTCACCCAAATTCTCATTATTGTCACAGTAAATATTTAAAAGGTAAAATATTCATCATGCTAGACTTTATTATTTTTACACACGTGAGCATTTGTACAATTGATGGTTTCAAATGAATAAATATATAGCATTGATTCCAGACAGGACGATTCGAGTAAACATTACATAAAATGTAATCCTGAAAAATTTCTTAAATGTTCCTGAAACTGGTTACTTTTTGATTAAAGAAATATGAAATGTTATCTCTTTTGATTATACATATATTAAAGACCTGCAAATTTTTCTCATGAGATAGTAAGTAATAGTCCTTTTGCAGTCACTTTCATCCAAAGGGACTTCTAGCACCCTTACAGGGACAATCCGGCTGTATTAACCCAGGGTTAAGTGCCTTGCTTAACGGTACAATGGTCACAGCTTAAAGGGATAGTTCACTTTGAAATAATTTTTTTGGTATGTTTTAGCTTACCACAAGTGCATCCAAAATGTACGTGTCTTTGTTTCAGCAGTAGTTTAAATTTTGATATTTTTAGGTCAAACCGTTCGTGTCTGTCAGTCATTTAATGGAGGTCTATGGTCACCACCTCAGAGAAATCCAAATTAAACATGATTTAATGACTCGTAAATGTAAGTACACATTGATGGCCTAAGACACGAAACGAGCGGTTTGTGTGAGAAAACAAACAGTATTTATATCGTTTTTACCTCTTGTAACCACAGCCACAAAGCACCCGCGCCCTCAGATCACTTGGACGTGGCTGTGGTAACAAGAGGTAAAAACGATATAAATACTGTTTGTTTTCTCACACAAACCGTTCGTTTCATATCTTAGGCCATCAATGTGTACTTACATTTACGAGTAGGGGTGTAACGGTACATGTATTCGTATTGAACCGTTTCGGTTCGAGGCTTCCGGTTCGGTACGCATACAAACCGAACGATTGCTTGGATCATTTTTCCTGCCGGCAAAATTCGCGCTGACGCGGCCAACACATCGTTGCGCAACATCAAATGGCAAATGTAATGAAAGCAGAACGAAACTGCGCTACTCATTATGTGCTTCACGGATTATCTGCTTCACGGATCGTTTATTAGTTCGGACCAGCAACATCTGTGCAGCGCGAGCCGATCTCGATCAAGCAACACTGTTACCACACCGCGCGAAGAGATCCGGTAAAGAAAACATTTGAATTCGTCATTGAGGTAATAACATCGCTGCGAGATCTAGTGAGATGCATTCACATTTCTCCGTTATTAACCGTAGATCTCTATTAGATCAAACAGCGCTGTCATGGAAACCAGGAGAAACATTGTGCCGTGAATGAACTAGTAATACTTTCATCCACAGACCAGCAACATTCACCATGGATTTAATATAGTAACACTAACTGGAACCAGTTTGCCTGGAATGGTGAAATGCTTTCAAGTACTTCACACATCTTTTTCCAGCACTTCAAAATTCAAATATTATATAAATAAATATATTTAAATGTTATTTTTAATGTGATGACCAAAACATTATTTGTTCATCCTTCAAAGATGACCCCCATTTATAAACCTGAAAGTTTCAAGATCTAGGAAAACTCACATTTATTTAAAAATATTTTTTCTTTAAACAAATAGGACATTTCTCTGGCATTTCTTTCTTTTTGCTGTATCGAAAACGTACCGAACCGTGACTTTAAAACCGAGGTACGTACCGAACCGTGATTTTTGTGTACCGTTACACCCCTATTTACGAGTCATTAAATCATGTTTAATTTGGACTTCTCTGTGCATGCTCTTTGAGGTGGTGACCATAGACCTCCATTATATGACTGACAGACAAAAACGGTTTTAAAAATATCAAAATTGAAACTACTAAGGAAACATGCCCTTGAGGTAAGCTAAAACATACCAAAAAATAATTTCAAAGTGAACTATCCCTAAGTGAAGAATCAACCCATGCTTGGTTCAAACCTACAACCTTCCAGTTCCAGTGCAGACCTTTAACCACCAACCCACTCCTTCATCATGACTCACGTACAGCAACTGTAAATTCTTTACCACAAAGCAAATTCTTCAGAAAATAAATGCTTACTAAGTAAAAAAAGGCATTTAGACATTGACTCAAGTTTGAGACTCACATGACCAGACCTTCAGTACTTTGACCTGAAAAGACTTAAATTACTACGCTAAGTAAACACTGACTGCTGGACACCAGCTCATGTATTAGAGACAGATTTACCTTCATAACACTCATCATACTGTAGTTTGGATCTCTTCCTTGGCCTGCATCCACATGCATATTTTAAATAACCTACATAAAACATCTTAAGTTTAACTATGATAATGTAGGGTGGTTCAGCATAAAGAAGTTCATATATTTTCACACTTCCTTTTTAATTAGACACAACATAACATTAATTTTACACATATACACACACTCTCTCACAGTCTGTTTGGAAAACTGGGTCAACATTCCTCGTGATATTATTTATTCAACTACAAGACAGTCCTCCAAAAACTTCAGTATGTCACATGCAGGCCTAAACTCAGATCTATTTAACCCTGCGGAAGAATCAAATCTGAGGTGGTGATGAAAATTATACCTTTTTTAAAACATTAAGCAAATATGATCACAGAAAACGCCGCATGAACCAGCAGATCTGAAGATCTACGGTTGAAGAAGAAGAATGCGAGTAGGGAGATGTGAGGGTGTCCGAGAAGTGAAAGTGATCGGTCTTCTCCTCTGTCTGCCTATCTACATGAAGTCTCTAGTTAATAGCTTCATAATACGTTTAATTGTGTTACTTACCGTGCCCGTAAACGCATCCGCGCCGTCGTCACTGTCCTCCAGCAGCTCGGGCTCCTCTGAGTCCGGGAAAGGAGGAGGACTGCGCTCCGAGCTGGCCGCCATCTTCAGCTCCACACACGGAAAAACTTTATTACAAGCGGACAACGCTAGAGTGAAAATGAGAGAGCGACAGTGAACTGATACGAAGAGAGAGAGAGAGAGATAGCGAAACAGCGACGCTCAGTGGTCAACAGTGGCGGGCTTTGCGCTGTTACGTCACGCTCACAAGACCACTCCCAAAGTAATGATTTTTTCCCCCACAAATAATGTAAAAAATAAAATAACGTTATAGTCCCGCTGTTATGGAGCCATTTAATTGTACATGAAAAAATGTGATTAAAAAAAATTAAATTGAGGAAGTGAGTGTGTAGAGGGGCGAGCCTTGCTGTTACGACACAAGCCACGCCCACTGATGCGTTTGTTTACAGAAGTACAGGAGTGAACTGAATCTTTTGCCCAACGATCATGTAGTTTACACTCATAAATACTTTAATCTGAAATGTTATTATGCCTCGACGGGCTCATGGAGATACAGAACCACTGCTATCGTCCACTCATTTGGACGAAGACGGTAAAAGGCATTATTAATCATGAAGAATGTGTGTTTATTATTACAGGATCTCTAGTGGTTGATATCCCGGTAGTGTATTGTGTAGAGTAAAAATGATGACTCAAACACTTTTCACCAGTCATAGACTATTAATTGTTAAATCTGGATCCAGCATTTTAGGGTTTTTACGATATACACTACCAAAAAAATAATAATTATTGAGTCGCAGTTTGGATTTAAAGAGGCAAATGCTTAAGGGTCTATTATTGCAGTGATTATTGTTTTTAGCATTTGGAAATACATGTTGTGATGTTTACTGATATATGATGTGTCCATCAGATGACGAGGTGTCCAGTAGAAAGAAACTGTCTTATGAGGAGGCTGTTGAGAAAGCAGGTTAATTTTACATTTATGTTTTTAATGTGCTGAATCATTCTTCCAACATTTAGTTTCATATGTTTGTCCATATGCAGTGGTCCTCATGTTTCTATCTCTCCGCAGGGTTCGGACTCTTCCATTGGCTGCTGTTGGTCGTCTGCGGGTGGGCGAACGCCAGTGATGCGGTGGAGATCCTGTGTGTGTCGTTCCTCTTGCCCACGGCACGCTGCGACCTCCAGCTCAGCTCAGGCGACATGGGGCTCCTCACCGCCAGCATATTCCTGGGTTATCATCTATCTTTTTGTGTTTGTTTTCTAACCAAATAACTGTTAAAAAGACTCACGTTGCATTTCAAGAAGAGAAACTGTTTTCTTAAACAGCAGGACAAACAAGGAAAAATGAAACATTAACTTCTCATTTTTATCATGTAAACTGTTAAGTCGGGTCAGAAATGCGGTTTGTTCTCTATTTGGTCGAACTTTGAATTGTGTTTGCCTTATCAAGTGTCTGAAAACTGCAGAGTCATGCTCATTGTTTTCAGTGAGAGTTTTAACAAGAAATGCATAACTGACCGAGTGATTGAAACTGCTGACATAACCATGTCATCTGATCATGTCTCATGCTGCTCATGTTAGATAACTAGCATCTCCCCTGACAGGGATGATGGTGGGCGGTTATGTATGGGGGTATCTGGCTGATCGCAGAGGAAGGCGGAGTGTTCTGGTCATTTCTCTGGCAGTGAATGGCACGTTTGGGGCAGTGGCCAGTTTGGCCCCGAGTTTCTGGCTCTTTCTCCTCCTGCGGTTCTTCAGTGGAGTCGGGTAACCACATCCCAAAAGAGTTTTTACATGCAGTTTCAAGGTCTATTATATGATCCAGATAGAATGAATGTTTTTGTCTCGCTCTCAGGGTCGGCGGATCCATTCCTGTCATCTTCTCGTATTTTTCCGAGTTTCAACCATGTTTGCGGAGGGGAGCTATGATCAGCGCTCTCGCCACATTCTGGATGGCGGGAAATATTTTAGCAGCAGGTAAAACCATCGTCCTCAGAGCTGAGAGAGAGGAGTGCCTCATAAATATTTATTTGAATAGGTATTTTGTGTGTTTTTGTCCAGGTGTGGCATGGATGGTGATTCCCAGAACATCTTTGAACGCTCATTGGGGCTGGTTGGATTTTCAGAGTTGGCGTCTTTTTGTGGTCCTCTGCTCCGTCCCCAGCCTGTCATCAGCACTTATCTTCAGACTCTTCATGCCGGAGAGCCCGAAGTTCCTGATGGAGGTATGTACTGACTCAATTGTATCTTTGGGTCTGTTACCGGACGAATGTTTGTCAGTCAGGTTTAGTGGGACTATTTAATTAGATGTTTCTTTTCCACAGGCCGGACGTGAGGCGGAGGCTTTATCTGTGTTCCAGAAGATGTTCAAACTGAACAACAGACATGCCACGAAACCATTTCCTGTGCGTATATGAGTTCTGGGCCTTCCACTGTTCTGTTCATTATTTAGATGATCAGTTGATGAAAATGAGTTTGTGTTAACAGGCACTAGGTCTTGTGATCAGACCCCAAGATGAAGAAGAGAAGAACAGACCCAGTAGCGGCTCAAGATCTCAGCGGTTTAACCATCAACTCAAACAGGTTCAGATCACGATCTCGAAACATTTTCTTAGAAAATATTAAAGCCTCACTGAGGTCCTGATGGTGTCGCTGCTTCTTCTACAGGCACTGGATCCCATCAGACAGCTGTTTGTTGGACCGCTGGCTTCCAGAAGTGTCGTTCTGCTGATTATATTTTTCTGCATTTCATTTGGGTAAAACCTATCAAAAGCAAAATATTCGCCCATTTTAAGGTTTATAAAAAAATAATAATAATGACATTGATGTTTATGTTAATATCTTCATGTCTTATAGTCACATTTAGCAGATTAGAGCTAAAGAGGCAACAATTTGCAAGAGCTCACCAAAATTGGACAGTTGAAGACTGGAAAAATGTTGCCTGGTCTGATGAGTCTCGATTTCTGTTGAGACATTCAGATGGTAGAGTCAGAGTTTGGCGTAAACAGAATGAGAACATGGATCCATCATGCCTTGTTACCACTGTGCAGGCTGGTGGTGGTGGTGTAATGGTGTAGGGGATGTTTTCTTGGCACACTTTAGGCCTCTTAGTGCCAATTGGGCATCGTTTAAATGCCACGGCCTACCTGAGCATTGTTTCTGTCCATGTCCATCCCTTTAACCATGTCCCCATCCTCTGATGGCTACTTCCAGCAGGATAACGCACCATGTCACAAAGCTCGAATCATCTCAAATTGGTTTCTTGAACATGACGATGAGTTCACTGTACCCCCACATTGGCTCCACACAGGCTGTTTTTGCTACTGTACCTTTAAGATTTCTAGTTATGATTTGCTAGCTACATTTTAGATTACAAATAAGTTTGAAAAAAAAAAATCCTCTCTGTGCAGGTATTATGGGTTATGGATGTGGTTTCCAGAGCTTTTTAAGAGAGCGGAGGACGGAGGGTCTCCATGCACCAACACGTCTCGAGTCCAAAGCACAGAGAATGAAAGCTGCTATCCAGTCAAAACTGCAGGTGATGTTACTAAAAACAGACCAAATGAGACAGATAATTATTTTTCTCTTTTGTTGTCATGACCAAGTATTTTTATATTATTTTGCAGTATACATGGAGGGTTTTATAACTGCGGCTTCAAACTTGCCGGGAAACATCTTCACTATCCTTCTCATGGACAGAATTGGCGGGAAAATCCTGCTGTGTGAGTACAGCATGTTATCTTACAATGACTGATTGGCACAGATTGTTATGGCAGCTTGATATACCTCATCACCACATTGATTATTGCAAAATATTACAGAACTAACAAAGCGCACTATAAAAGTCTATCTATAATAATGATTTTTTTTCTGTGCGGTAGCCGTCAGTTTGCTGGCGTCCAGTGCGAGCGTGTTTGTCATCTACATGGTGAAAACCAAAACTCAGAGTCTGATCGTGTCCTGCGTGTTCAGTGGCGTTTCTGTCATCTCCTGGAACGCCCTGGATGTGGTCGGGACGGAACTTTATCCCACACAACTACGGTAAATCCCAATATTCAATTGTAATCTTGTAATATTGCTACTGATTTCACATCCAAAGAGGTCAGACAATCATAATTCCAAAAGTTTGGAGTAATAAAGGTTTTTAAATTTTTAAAAACTTTGTAAAAATTAAAAATTCAGTGTCACATGATCCATGAGCAGCAAATCATCATATTAGAATGATTTATAAGGGATCATGTGACACTGAAGACTGGAGTAATGATGCTGAAAATCCAGCTTTGATCACAGGAATACTTTTTATAATCTATTAAAATAGAAAACAGTTATTTTAAATTGTAATAATATTTCACAATATTACAGTTCTTACTGTATTTTTGTTCAAATAAATGTAGCCTGTGTGAGCAGAAGAGACTTCTTTCAACAATCTGAATTATTTCTATAGAGTTACATAAATGTACACTATCAAAAAAGTTACAAATACAAATAATGACCTTAATAAAACTTTGACTAACTATATGAGAAATAAATAGGAAATTGTAGTAAATGGCTTCATTAAATAGAATTCAGAGAACAAAATGAATGAATATACTAACTGAGTGTTTCTGTTTTGTAGCTCATCAGCTCTGGGGGTTTTTACTGGAGTGGGCCGCGTGGCAGCCATCATGGGAAATGTTGTTTTTGGGCAGCTGGTGGACTCCAACTGTGCCGTACCTCTGCTGATGGTGTCTGCGCTCCTGCTGGCCGGAGGACTGGCGGCTCTACGCCTGCCTCAAACTAAACAGACTGAACTGACATGACACAGCCAAGCCAAACTTGGCATTCTGGGACCAAAATACCAAACCAAAGAGCTTAACAATTTGCAGTTTTGTCTTAATGTTGCACAAGTGCACTATGAAAAGTTTTCACACACCTTTGCCATGTTTTCTGTACTGGAATTTTTAGTATCAGTAATTCTTATTGGCAGCTTAAAGCCTTATTAAATCAAATCTTGAATATTTAATAAATATTAAGTTCAAAATCTGATATATTTGTATAACAAGTCATACATTCTTATCATAATTTTAACAATATTTTTTATTTTATTTCAGTTGATTTTTATGGTATTATTGAATTCTAATAGTTTCTAAATGAAGGATATTCAATTGACTTTACATTTGTATCGAATTGCACAATTCCCTTTAGAGTGATATTTTTATATGCATATATTTTCTAACACTTTTAATGTTTGCACACCACATTAAACAGAACAGCCAATGGATTGATGCTTCAACAACTTTATTTTGTCCACTCTGAACATTTGTAAATAACCATGGCAATAATTGCAGAGTAATGAGGTAGAGACTTTGAAAATCTAAAAAGCAGCTGCAAAAGGCAACAAGGAAGAGATGATGCTCTTTGGCACAGCAAGAAACCAGAGCGGTGCAGATTCACTGAACTAAGGTTAGGAGGAGTGTTTAAAGCAAAATACAAAACTCAAAGCGAGGATTTCACTTCGATCTGCTCTAACAAACAAATTTAAAACCACCGGCAAACGTTTCCCTAGTGCCGTGTTTAAAAAAGTGCTACGATTTGATAAAAACTATGTACAGCACAGAGGTCAGAGTAACATCCAGAGTTGTAGAGTTGTATTCAATCTGATGGATGATTGACGGGGTGCAGCGTGGTGGTTGCTAAGCAACAGCATCAGCCAGCTGTGATGTCACTTCCTGGAGCATTTTACAAGCCAAGATGCTCATCAACCATTTAATAGTGTTAAAAAAACTAAATAAAAAGGCCCTAAAGGAAAAGACACTGAGACAGCCCAACTTAAAAATCTGTTAAAAAAAAAAAAAAAAGTCTAAAAATCACCAGCTAACCAGCCAATACAAATAATAATAAAACAAAAAAAAGGTCTGGAAAAGCTGGTAACAAAAAAGAAGCCAAAGGCACCGACTGGCATTTGCCTGCAGAGGGTCAAAACTGCGAGAAACTAATTTTCTGTTCATGCTAAATTTAAAATACAACTCTTAAAATCAGATATCCATGGCTGTCTGGTTAACTGTGCAAGTGGCTCAGCATCAACGAACCCTTTAGTGTGCATAGAGCCTTAATGAACGAGAGCAGTGCAATATAACGCATTAACCTCCTCAAGTGAGTCGCCCCTGTTTCCCATCAGACTCACGCCAACATCCGTTCAAGAAACAGTGAACTCAGTCCGGACTCTTCCCCACGCCGCTGACGCTGGGTTTAGTGGGGGTATAGGCCCTTCTGGTTGCGCATGAGTGGCTGATGGCTACTCAAAACATCCAGAGAGTGACGCCAATGCCAGCATGACCGACAGTGGTATTTAAAACAAGCCTGGAAGAACAACAACAACAAAAAAGAGTTGAAGAAATATGCATAGAAGTGCAATACGTAAAGAGTGTGGTTTGTTAGGTGCTTTGCATAGACTTAATCCAATGAATCAATAGTCTAATCAATACACCGTCAACCAAAAGATTCACAGCCCTACTTATTAGAAACAAGGCCACAATACAGAAATACATTAAAATAGTTGATCAAAATAAAATTGTTCATGTTCACTGTCATGTTGTTAATGCAAATTTACAGTAAAATAACACCACGTGAAAAGAGACTTAAAGGTGCAGTAAGTGATTTCTGAGAAAGAGTTGATATCTGAAATCAACCCAAACAAACACACCCCTCCCTTCACAAACACTCACTGCAAGGGTGGACGCTTTATCATAGCTGAAGCAAAGCAAAATAATACTGTGTGAAAAATAAAGTGAAGATGAATGAACGTCAGAGAAGAACAAAAAATATGAACATACAGTGAACAAGTCAAACAATGACACTCAAAACTGTCCTGTTACTGTAGCTAACATTACATCAACAGCATATCTTGGTTCTGAACCAATGTTACTTAAGCTAGTTCACACTACATGATTTTAAAACGTCGGGCTGAACCGTGCGGTTCACACTACATGACTTGCTCTCTGTGAAATCAGGAGTGTTCAAGTTGTTTAGCTGTTCACACCACACGACACAACGTGATTGATCCACAACAGGAGGTAACGCACTACACGAGTTGACAACGCACTGCATAGAGATACAACCACGATCGGATGATAAGAGCAAATCATTTGTGACTCTAATGAGAGCTGTTTCAGTACTATGGTACGGTCTAAATCCTGAAAATAATCAAATAAATAACGAGTTGACAATAACTCTGTCACCCAACGATTCTATCTTGTCTACAAACCACGTTTTGTCACGAAAAACCACAATACAACGAACCAGAAATGACGCGAAACATCACGTGCGCCAATACTTTTACAATACAAATACGCCAATGATTTGCTCCGAGAAAAAATGCAAAAAAAGAAAAAGTATTGCATTGCTCTGATGGGCTGTAGCTCATGACATCACTGAGGTTGAGTCGCGCGACGGCTTATGATATCTAGCATGCTAGATATTTTTCTGCGCTCGGCGACGCATCTGTTAGCGTCTTCACTGCGTTGTTGGCTCTTTCAAACTAACAGATTGGCAAGCGTTCATTGCCCGCTAAACACCCTGACCTGACGATTTGCAAATCGGGCTTAAATCATGTGGTGTGAACTTGGCTTTAGCCTGACTACATCAGACTTCCTACTTCTGCTAATTTCATTTTCTATCTTTCAGTTTTCCTGAGGCCTTCGGATGGATGGCCAATCAACGTACAGAGGGCGGGCTGAGAGCCGCGTTTTACGTTGTAGGTTAGAGAAATCGAATGGGAAACGAGACACGGGATGCAATTCGCTCTGTTATGGAGAACATTCTGGGGGTTTTTCAAACTGAAGCCACAACAAGAAGAGTGTTTGATAAACCTTTAAATGGAGGTGATGTTGTGGCACTACTCCCGACTGGTTTTGGGAACAGTTTAATTGATCAATTACCGTTAGTTACGGAAACAAAGTGACCTGAGCTTAACTCTTGATATGATGCTTTTACTGTGTTCATACCTGGGCCCTACAGAAGAACGGGCCGGGCTGACTGTTACATATTTGGCACATGGAGTCATCCAGATACGGGTCAATCTGGATCTACAGAGGGAACAGAAAGAGAGTGAGGTAGATACACGGGGATGATCTTTGATGCTGTATATTTAAGTCCTGCTCTTCTGTACCTTCTTGGTAAACTTGCATGTTTTTATCTGCACAAACGCCGCAGTCACGGCTTTCAAGTAGCTCCTCTGGCTCCTAAATGTCACTCGTCCAGAACCTAGACGAACAAATGCAACACGTTGGGACAATAACTATAACGATAATGATAAAATCTTTTTAAATATAAAAGAATATCAGAGTTCACAACACAACTATAACGATAACGGCACAGAGAAGAGATATCAAAACATGATTTTTTCCAACTGATGAACAATAAAAACATTGACAGCCAATCAGAATCAATCCTGGTTTAAAGAGCTCAAGCATTTAAAGGGGCAGACAACAAAACTGAATAAACAATGATATCATGTGTTGGTGTGGACACCAAAATAGTTATCATCATAGTTATCATCCTTGGTGTGAATGGGCCTTTAGGGTGTGTTCAAACTTGTAGTTAGGTTCTCTTGAATGATGCATATAGTCCTGATTCACTTGGTGTTCACATTGTCATTTTCAACAACCAACAAAGATACAAAACGAAACCAATGGCTTTTATGACGTGTATTCATGTATTTCAGAACATCAAAAACAAAGCTGTGTGCTTGGGATAAACTCGCTCATTGTAAGTGTGTTCTTCTGGTGGTGTTTTCATGAAGAGTTTAGAAAATGTGTAAAGGAGTCAAAAGAGCGTCAGGAATCCCTCCGTCACGCACCCAAACGAAGATCTGCAGCAAAAAGACTCGGGTAACGAGTCTAATGGACAACGTAGTTCATGTGATGAAAGAAACCATGTATGCTTGAGTATTCTGTCATTTAATGGTCCTGTTTTTAGTTTGTTTAGATGTCTTTGGTCCATGTTGCATTCATATAATATTCAAACCAAACCAGGTATGGAATGCCAAAGCTGACTTAATTAAAAAATAAATAAATATACATAAATAAATATACAAAGAAATGTAAAAAAAGCAAAAATACATAAATAAATACAGAAATTAATATACAAAGTAATGTAAAAAAAGTACAAATAAATAAGTATTTATACTTTTATTTCCTTATTTATATATAATTATATTTTTTCACACATTTATTTATTTCTACATTTATTCATTTACACTTTTATTTATTTCTACATTCATTTATGTATTTGTTTTTATGTCTACATTTATTTATTTTCACATTTTATTTTCTCCGTGTTCTGCACTGGTGTGCGAGTCTCATCGACAATAATCACAAGCCAAAAGCAATCATATTCATGTGTGCTATGTGTGTTAACCCTATATAGCCTACCCTACATACAGTTAGGGTGATATACACGACTTAAAATGTAATATTGCCTGCACACCTCTTGCGTTTTGTTCGGTCACACACCACAAGGTGTCACTGTGGCCTCAAAGCTTCAGCACTGCCACTCTGAGCTCGATTGCTGATATCTGAGTTAAAACACGGCCCCCTCATTAGCATACGGAGAAAGAAATGTTGGAATAAATAAATGTGGAGATAAATAAATGTAGAAATAAATAAATGTGAAAATAAATAAATGTAGACATAAAAAAATAAATACATAAATGAATGTAGAAATAAATGAATAAATGTAGAAATAAACAAATAAATGTGTGAAAAATACAATTATACATAAATAAGGAAATAAAAGTATAAATACTCATTTATTTGTACTTTTTTTACATTTCTTTGTATATTAATTTCTGTATTTATTTATGTATTTTTGCTTTTTTAATTAAGTCAGCTTTGGCATTCCATAAACCGGAGTTCGTTTGCAAGCAGACAGAGACCCATCTTTTCAGGACTCTTGGTCCGCTTGTTTGGCGCACACCAGGGTTCGGAGAGCAGCGTTCACACTTAAGGTTCAAATGAACCGCACTAACAGAGCAATCACACTAGAGCTTGTCTTAATCTAACCAAACCTGCCAATTGTGCCACACAGTCACCACCACTTTCATATAAATGAAAGAAGCCTGCACATACCTATGGGATATTTGTGCTTGTCTGTGTCGATGCCTGCGTACGTGACCCCTCCGAAGAGATCGTCCATGATGTGGGCCAGGCCTTCTGCATTTAGCATCCCGTGCAGAGCGCCCACGAACACCGTCCTATTGCGGCAGAGACGCTGGGAGGGACA